GTGGTAAACTTGTAGGAGATAAATTAAAGATCAGATCCAGTTTTAACATGATGGTAAGTGATATAGCCGTTACTCCTGGCAATGACATATTACTGGCTACATCAGAATCAAGACTGAAGCAGATCAAGGCTGGATCTATTTATGTGACAGACTCTGTATACTGTGAAGAATTATCCAGTCTCTGTAGTGTACATGTGACAAATGAAGGAAGAGTGATAGTGGGTGGAATAACAGTTATTGTTGTTATGGATACAGATGGTAACCATCTGAGCAGGTATGAAAAGGATAAAAACAATAAATCTATATTTGATGGATTAATTTGTTCAATAACCAGTACACTTAATGGGAATATTTTTGGGATACAAACATCGATTAAAAAGAGTGTGGTAGTCTTAGGGAAGGAAGATATCATCAATAACTATCCAGGACATCCCTCTATCAACAGGTATGGCGAGTTTAGTCCTAAGTCAGTAGTAGCCACACCATTGGACAATGTTATTGTGGCTGACGACATCAATCATACACTACATATACTGGACCACACTGGTCAGGTACTGACCACCTACAATACTAAAGACATAAGGATACTATTTCCAACATCTCTAGCCATAACTATGGAAGGACCATTTGCAGTATTATATTTAGGATGCCATACAATTGTAGGAAGTTCTAAATCTGGAATGCTGTACAAAATTAATATCATGGGGTGTTAAATCAGTTTAGATACGGAAGGCTGGACAATAATAACCTCGTGGGGTGTTAAATCAGTTTAGATCCAGAAGGCTGTACAATAATAACATCATGGGGTGTTAAATCGGTTGTCTTTTTGAATATTTTCAATTTTGAAAAAGTGAACATATAAAAAATATGTGACTGTAAATTTATTAAACATAACAATATCATATCAATCTGATCTTCATGTAAAATGATTGTTGCATAATTTATAAATGTAACAAATTACACATATGTAATTGTATACTTTATTAGTACCTGTTGTAAAAATTATTTCTTCTTAATCTTTTAATGATTAAAGAACATTTTTTGCACTTCAGAGTACACTCATTTCAGTTAAAGAAATCAAATGTGTACAATGATATAACTATATGTGTAGGAACGATATAAATGGCCCCACTTGCAAAAAAAAAAGTTTGAAGCCATTTTAAGGAGTGAAAACTTTCAAAGTATAAAGCCGGTAATTTCCACAAAAATCTGTAGAACCAAACACAAACTTGATCTGTAACTCATCATAGTATGATGTTATATTTAGTATAAAAACAGGGAGCAGTTTTAAAAGTATCTTGAGCAAATACTAGAAAATTGGAGAAGGATAAAAAGTCATATAATAAAACAATTGTTGACTTTTGATTTCAGTTGATACAATGATTTATCAACCCCAGAGATATGATATTCACCCTCAGCTGTTGGCCTCGGTGAATATCATATCTCTGGGGTTGATAATTCATTGTATCAACCGAAATCAAAAGTCAATAATTGTATATTGTTGCGGAATGACGGAATGACGGAATGACGGATAAGGGAAACACTATATGGCCAGACCTAAGTCGGCGGGGCCATAAAAAATTAATTAGGTTACAATCTGGTCAGCCAATAGAAAACTGAAACAGTAACTACTTCATACAGTCCTAACTTGTAACATCAAACAATGTGGTGTCAAACACTTCCTGGTCAAATCTCAGTTTGTTCAATGTATCAATAATTCTGATTAGTCAAACTTAATTGATATGATATCTCTGTTATCTTGAGTTTATTTTTAAGTCCTCTTAAAGAAAAATGAACATAATGTTTGGAAGTACAAAAAAACTTTGGAAAAAACATTTGGATTCAAAGTTTCAAATCGGATGTTTTGATTGGTAGATCCAAAAAAGTTTTTGTAGTTAATAATATCAATAAGTTTGTTTCATAAATAAACTGTTATCACAGAGATATGTCTCGCTTTTTTGTAATTCTGATTATGCAAATGTTGAAATTAAAATGGCAATACTTAACAAGTTAGGCTAATATTCAAAGTCAATGAACCATGACTGAGGTACATGGCTAAACCATCTCCATGTAAATGAGATGCGACAATGCTAATACAACATTTACAAATATCATTGACTTATTATAAGTTGTTCACTTTAAACAAACCTAAACACAAACATTAACTTGTAAAGTATGTAAAAGTCAATGAACCATGAAGAGGGGGTGGAGCTATATAATCTCCATGGAAACGATACTTACAAATGCCAATAAATTTTCATACCAAATGTCATTGACTTAACATTAGCATTTCATCTTAAACTGATCTTATCATAAACTAATACATGTAAACTAAGCAAAAGTTTCAAAGTCAATAGGCCATGACTGAGGGGATGGGGCCAAATATTCTCCTTTGAAATGAGATGTGCTAATGCTTATACAACTGAATACCAATTAACATTGGCCTACCACTAATGGTTCCCCTTGAACTGACGTAATCACAAACTAATACATGTTAACTAAGCAAAATTTTCAAAGGTCAATAGACCATCACTCAGGGGGCTGAGTCAAATAATCTCCATGGAAATCAGATATGCCAATGCTTATACAACTGCATACCAAATATCATTGACCTACCACTAATGGTTCCCCATAAACTGACCTAATCACAAACTAATACATGTAAAATAAGCAAAAGTTTCAAAGTCAATAGACCATGACTGAGGGGGCAGGGCCAAATAATCTCCATGGAAATGAGATGTGCCAATGCTAATACAACTGTATACCAAATATGATTGACCTTCAACTTGTGGTTCACCACAAACTAGACCTAATCACAAACTAATACATTGTTGATGCCGCCGCCGCCACCCGAAACAGCACACATGTCTCGCTTTTTGACTCCGTCAATCGAGACAAAAATCAGACCAATATGTTTAATGACACCTTTGATGATTAATCAAGTGTAAAATTGTGTTTGTTGATAACATTTAACCTGAGATAATAGCAAAATGAATGGAAAGAATCAGGCTGAGAACATCAACAGAAAGCTCAAAAAGAATCAAAATCAAAATTACTTGTTAAACTTTGAAAGAATGTAGCTATATAGATGAAGAGTTGAGACCTAAAACCAGTGTATAACAGTCACACGTTAATAAAAAACCCAAATGTATTCATTGTAAACCAAAAACATCCAATGTAGTCAATGTAGATAGCAGTGAATTCCTTCCATGTCAATGGTGACCGCACTATTAAATAATATGTTATTGTGGCAGGCAGACTGCATATTTACATATCACTACACCAATGTAGACAATACTTTAAACTGACCACTAACATGAATGCCCAATGTGGTCAGCATTTTCATTCATTAAAGAGAAAGAATGTCAACATTGCAAATTGAAACAAGGGAGCACCAGAAATAACCATTTCGTTGACTGATCCATCCAACAAAAAATCAAACTTGTACAGGTAAAATGATTATTTACATATATTGTTCATCTATAACATGAAATCAAACAGACCTTAGAAAAATTGTCAATATACCTTTGCATGTGCTTGTCTGTCTACTTATATTCATATATATGTTTATATCATTTATATGTCAAGTCAGCAGTCTTCTACCTTTATTGATAATTAGATGGCATTTGGTCTAAATTATGCATGAAATGATGATACGTTTCGCCAAGTCCATGCAATGTAAATTGTTTCTTTTGGACAATTTGTAATTTGGATATACGTTTTATAAATCAATGAAAGAACCTTAGTGAGCGCGCTCACATACCCCACGTCCCCACATTGTCATTGGAGAAATAAAATAAGTGTAAGAAAAAAAAATTGTATCAGAAAAAAAAATTGAATCATAATTTCCTGTCAATATGCACATCTACATAGTATGTCCTTATTATCTACACAGTTTCATGAAATTCTGCTTTGTGGTTTGAGAGGAGTTGCGATGACAAAAGGTTGCAGTAGTATTTTGGGCAAATAAGTTCAAAGGGGCGTAACTCCTTGAAAAAAAATTGAATCGTAATTTCCTGTGGATAGCACATCTACGTAGTATGTCCTTATTATCTGAAAAGGTTTCATGAAATTCTGTTGTGTGGTTTGAGAGGAGTTGCGATGACAAAAGGTTGCAGTAGTATATTGGGCAAATAAGTTCAAAGGGGCGTAACTCCTGGGAAAATAATTGAATCGTAATTTCCTGTCGATATGCACATTTACGTAGTATGTCCTTATTATCTGAAAAGGTTTCATGAAATTCTGTTGTGAGGTTTGAGAGGAGTTGCGATGACAAACTGTTGCAGTAGTACATTAAAGTAAATAAGTTCAAAGGGGCGTAACTCCTAGAAAAAAAATTGGAACGCAATTTCCTGTCGATATGCACAACTACATAGTATGTCCTTATTATCTAAAAAGGTTTCGTGAAATTCTGTTGGGTGGTTTGAGAGGAGTTGCGATGACAAGAAACAGGACTGACGGACGGTAGTATATTGGGCAAATAAGTTCAAAGGGGCATAACTCCTGCAAAAAAAATTGAATCGTAATTTCCTGTCGATATACACATCTACGTAGTATGTCCTTATTATCTGAAAAGGTTTCATGAAATTCTGTTGTGTGGTTTGAGAGGAGTTGCGATGACAAACTGTTGCAGTAGTACATTAAAGTAAATAAGTTCAAAGGGCGTAACTCCTAGAAAAAAAATTGAAACGCAATTTCCTGTCGATATGCACAACTACATAGTATGTCCTTATTATCTAAAAAGGTTTCGTGAAATTCTGTTGGGTGGTTTAAGAGGAGTTGCGATGACAAGAAACAGGAAGACGGACAGACGGACTAACGGACGGACGGACTGACGGGTCAAAAACATTATACCCTCCGCAACCTGTTGCGTACGGTATAAATATGAGATTTTGAGTCAAATTGGTGAACATGACATTGACAGCTAATGCCCCTTTAACAAAGCGATCACTAATTTCTAGATTTTAACCAAAGGGTAAATAAAAGAAAAAAAGGATTACCCTTTTTGTTCCATCTCGTTCTATTTTTCCTAACAGCATCTCAAACTGAAAATAAAAGTTATATCTATTAGTACAAGTTGTGTCCAAATTGTCAAGTAAAATTAAAAAGTTTAGAAATTCCAACCTTAGATGAATTTTCTATTTGACAACTAGTTCTAGTTATATAGTAGAGCAAATCATGTTTTTGGGAGTGTCAGATGTGATATATAAACATAATAAGTTTTAGGGGAGAGCTTTCTTAGAAACTTTCAAGAGCTACTGCACAGTATTTTGCTATTATATCTGTATCTGCATGAAATGTATGTAAGCTAAAATGGTCTTTTTATTATGTATATGATACCAGAATAGGCCTTTATTTATTACTTTATGTGTCTATTATCTTTTGATGCCTTCATGCAAAGGTGTTACTGAATGATGCACTGAAAGCAGCAATAACAGTGTGTGACAAATGCCCATCTGCTTAATGACAGAAGGACTCTTGTAATTCAATTAAAAGTATGACATCCGGAATAAACATGGTCTATACATTTATAAACCTTAAATAAGCTCAATATCTAGACAAAAAGAAAAAATACTTGGACAACTATTGGTTGGCTGTCAAGTTGATTTACATCAATACCACTTTATGTCCCAGTGGCAGGGCTAAAAAAATTAGCTTACTATAGCTTTGTTATTATTCGTGGGATACCGATTTAAGTGGACTTTGTGGGTATATGTAAACTATGAATTTAAATGTTCAAAGAAGTAAAAATTTACTATAGGTTTGTATGCAAATTTTGGCAAAACCATGAAATCAAACATCTATGGAATTACAATAAATCCACAGTATTTGATGTATCTGACAGAAATTTCCATATTAGCCTTAAAATTCAACTGACGCTCCAATATTGGACTGAATGCTCCGACCAAAGTCTGATATAGAACCTGTGATGATACAAAACCAACTTTAAAAACTTTGAGGGTAATATGGATTTCAAATGAAAATAAATACAGAACAGGACCTCATATATCATATACCTTAAAAGAAAGAGTTTTTGTGATGTATTTATTATTGTGAAAAAAGTGACAAGATCAATATCAACAGTGAAAATTCTGATTGGATTATTAGTGTTGCTATGTAATCCATTTCAGTAAATTACATTAATTTAAATTCATATTTTGGTCAGTTGATCAACAATTGCAGTAATAAATGCCACCAAGAAATTTTGCATTTACAGGATTTGAGGTAAAACGGAGTCATGTAATTAGTTATGCATAAACACATATCACATTAAAGTATTTGATCAAAGACATTTAATGGGTATTTATTTTTTTTTATCTAATTTATATTTGGTATATAGAACTGACCTCTCTGGTATCCAATACAAGTTCACTGACACATGACATAAAGAAGTTTTCTCCCTGTGCTGTCTTTAAGTCCCTGCAAAAATCATTGATACTAACAGTACATTTAATAGTATTATAAACTTGTTAGGTAAATATTGATAATAAACTTTTTTTATCCAGCCTTTCCAAAAGTCAGAATTGATTTTACATTAGATGAATGAATAAATTCTAATTTTATTTTAAGCATAGCTGACAGTGCTGAGGTTGGGATCTTCAACCACAAATATAAACATAGGGAGATGTGGTACCATTGCCAATGAGATAACTATACACCAGAGTTCAAATGAAGTGGATAAAAGCAATTATAGGTCACTGCCTTCAACAATGAGAAAAACCCATACCATATTTTGATTTTTGATTTTTTGTGTTTTAACGCCACTTTTAAGCACCGCTTTTGGGCTATTTCGTGGCGGCCAGTTTTTATTGGTGGAGGAAGCCGGAGTGCCCGTCCCATACCATATAGTCAGCTTTAAAAGTTTCTAACATGAAAAATGTAAAACAATTCAAATGATAAAACTAACGGCCTAATTTACAAAAATTCAATTTACAAAAAACAAATATGACATAGACATCAACCAACAACAACCACTGAAACAAAGCATGGATCTGCAGGCATGCCAAAAAAGTGAGACAACAACTACAGTCTTTATGATGTAATGCCCATAATTACACATCAACCTGAAATAAATGGAAACTTGACCTGAAACTGCTGTACCTACAAGAATGATCGCGTCTTGGTGATTAACGCCACTTTGGGCACTCTTGGCTGGTGGCCAGTTTTTATTGATGGTGGATGCTGGATTAACCACAGACCTATGGCAGGTAAACTGGCAATCTTATGTCAATCAAGATCAGTGTAAAATGCACCTCAGCCTTAACAGGGTTCAAACTCACAACCACAGTGTTTACAGGCTTGTGGTCACTGTATAAAAACTACTTAGACCACGCTATCACTAAGGTCCCCTTTCCATTAGAATTTATATTAAAAAATGTTAAAAAACAAGTATCAATAGTTGTAAACTGAAATGACAAACAAGGTAAAAACAAAATGCCCTGTCCATGCAGTAGTAGACCATAAAAATGACAGTTTACCTGAGGAAGTAGAAATACTGTAAAGCTTCTCTAGCATCTGTTGATTCAAATTTTCTGGTATATAATGTTATTAATCTGGCAAAATTCAATCTCCTCATACAGCCATCATCTGATGTATCTGTTGTTACTGTAGAAAAATAAATATAATATTAGAAATCTAAGTTACTGATTTGGAGCTGTATCCTATTACTTTTATGCAAAATAATAGAAACTACTTGGTTGCTACAAAACCGAAAGTGCTAATAAAAAATAGGAAGTTACAAAAAAATATCAAGTTTCCTCCAAATATGGTACCTTTCTTTATTATTTGTAATATAAGCAACAGTGTTTTTAACCAGTAGCTCATTAATTCTTCTTTTTTGGTTCACCTGTTCTGACAAAAACACCTTAAAATTTTCCACAAGTAAGTCTGTTGTGTTTCCTTAAAAAATTCTTTTTAAAGTTTCTGTATGATTAAAATGTTTATTGCATGAATTTATGAATATTGTCCCTTTTAAAGTATAAAAAACATTTGACATGAAACATAATTCAAATATCTGTCAAATCACAGTTCTTAATTCATTAATCAAAAATTGAATTGTCTGAAATAAAAAAAAATGTAAAAAATTCAACACTAAAAAAAGTGAAAAGTAAACATAACCAAACCAGCTGAACTAAGCTCCTTTAAAAGCAAATTGCAAAAATAATATGGCACAAAAATTAACTAGTCAACATTTACTGTTGTGATTTACAAATTTCAGCTGCATAAAAGTAATATTTTTTGAGAGGTATCAAAACTAAAGATGGTTTACAATGAACACATGCACTGTGCAATAATTGTGATACTGATATCTAAGCAAGGTTGAGTTACTTCCCTTGTAGACTTAAAATTATGACTATATCTGAAGGAAAAATGAGTTACTTCCCATGTAGAAGCAGTTTAAACAGTAAAGAAAGATTTTGAACATATTCAATACGATTTTAAGCCATTATCACTGTGGGTATTTCAAGATCTGTTCAGAAAGTATTTCAAGATGTCTTCAGGAAAGGATAAAAATGAACATCTTTGTATTGTGAATAATTTGGTAAAGTGTTAAAACTAGTGGCAAACATCAACTGATTGATTACTGATATATGTGACATATATTGCAGCATGTAAAGTGGGTTGACAAGTGACAAGTGACCAACCCACCCTCTCCAAAATCATGGAACAGGTAATAAAAGGATGACTGAAAAACCTGTTTTACCAGACTGTTTCTATATTTACAAATGCTTATGTGTTCATGGTTCACCTTACAAAGAAGCAAACTTCAAGGTCATTTTAGGTCCTTTTTGGTTATATAGCTCTTCAACTGTTTCAAATTTTATACATCCTTGGCTTTCAATTTTTCGGCTTTGAGCATTCCTGATGAAAGAAAAGCACTTTGGACAGATGAAATTTATAAAGTGTTGTTTTCATTTTTTTCAATTTCAATCTTATTTTATTGAGAACACATTCAAGTATATTAGCTGTCAACCTATACTTACATAGCTGTGATTTGACTGAGGAAGTAATAACATGTTTGATTCATACTTGATTTGATTGAGGAAGTAATAATATGTTTGATTCATACTTGATTAGATTGAGGAAGTAATAAAATGTTTGATTCATACTTGATTTGATTGAGGAAGTAATAATATGTTTGATTCATACTTGATTAGATTGAGGAAGTAATAAAATGTTTGATTCATACTTGATTTGATTGAGGAAGTAATAATATGTTTGATTCATACTTGATTAGATTGAGGAAGTAATAAAATGTTTGATTCATACTTGATTTGATTGAGGAAGTAATAATATGTTTGATTCATACTTGATTAGATTGAGGAAGTAATAAAATGTTTGATTCATACTTGATTTGATTGAGGAAGTAATAATATGTTTGATTCATACTTGATTTGATTGAGGAAGTAATTAAAGAACCTTTGTGAGCACACTCACGTACCCCAAACCCCACATTGTCACTTGGGAAACAAAATCTCATCAGATGTCTTAGTTCAAAGACTCATAACTCCTCAAAAAAAAAATTCAACTGATAACAATTTCCTGTTGATATGCACATCTACATATTATGTCCTCATTAACTACAAAGTTTCATGAAATTCTATTGTGTGGTTTAAGAGGAGTTGCGATGACAAAGTGTTGCAGTAGTATATTTCCGGCAAAATTCTAAGTTCAAAGGGCATAACTCCTAGAAAACAAGAATGTGTCCATAGAACATGGATGCCCAACTCGCACTATCATTTTCTATGTTCAGTGGACCGTGAAATTGGGGTCAAAACTCTAATTTGGCATTAAAATGAGAAAGATCATATCATAGGGAACATTTGTACTAAGTTTCAAGTTGATTGGAGTTAACTTCATCAAAAACTACCATCACCAAAAAACTTTAACCTGAAACAGGACAGACAGACTTACTGACGGTCGGATGGACAGACAAATGAATGGACCCACAGACCGAAAAACATAATGCCCATAAATGGGGCATAAAAAATTGAATCATAATTTCCTGTTGATATGCACATGTACATAGTATATATGCACATGTACATAGTATGCCCTTATTATCTACAAATATTCATGAAATTCTATTGTGTGGTTTCAGAGGAGTTCAGATGACAAGAACAGGACTGATGGACTGACGGACAGATAGAGGGTCGGACGGGTCAAAAACATTATACCCCACGCAACGAAGTTGCTTGGGGTATGATAACATGTTTGATTCATACTTGATTTGATTGAGGAAGTAACATCATGTTTGATTCATACTTGATTTAACTGAGGAAGTAATAACATGTTTGATTCATACTTGATTTGATTGAGGAAGTAATAACATGTTTGATTCATGCTTGATTTGATTGAGGAAGTAATAACATTTTAGATTCATACAATAAACCTATACTTACATAGCTGTGCTTGATTTGATTGAGGAAGTAATAACATGTTTGATTCATACAACACTAATGCCACATGAACAGCATGACATAATAACTTGTCTATACGTGAAATAAATTCTATGGCAGCTTCAAACTGAGCTGTCAATATTAGCACTTGAAAATACAAGAATGGCTGTTGATATCCACTGAAATAATTTTCACCTGAAAATAAAAATGCAACATTTAGACAATTACTAGAGAAAAGCAGTTAATAAACTTTTGAAAGGATATACATATACAATTTGGTCTTAAATGAAACTAAAGTAATTTTATTTTACCCCATTTCTTTAAAAATAATAAAAGCTGTATGCAGATGAAACTTATAAGATTAAAACAACAACTGAAATCTCAAAATACTTATTTAATCCTGCTACATTTGATGAACCTGTTCCAAGCCAGAAGCCAGCAACCTTGTCAGTCTTTAGTTATATCTTAATACTTTTTTTCCTGTAGGAATTTTTATGCTGATTGCAGATCTTTTGTAGTTTTTGTTACATATTTTCACAACTGGGTCAATGTTCGCAATTGTTTCTCCATAGGTGGTAATGGTAATGTTTTCTTCTGTTTCTAAGTCCATATTTTAAAAAAGCTTTTGATTTGGTAGATCATGATATTCTTTGCTTAAAGCTTGAAATTTATGGATTTAGTGAGGCTTCTGTTAGTTTTTTCAAGTCATACCTGAATAACAGAAAACAGCAGGTAAACATTTGTAATGTTTACTCTAAACAACAACATGTAAAATTTGGTGTACCCCAAGGTTCTATACTTGGTCCTCTATTGTTTGTGCTTTTTATAAACGACCTTCCCTTATGCATTGAAAATTGTGAAACAGACCTATATGCTGATGACACCACTCTTCATAAATCAGGGAAAAACATAGAAAATATACATGATGATGTTCAAGAAGATTTATACAGGGTTGAAGAGTGGTGCAAAATGAATAACATGTTCATTAATGCAAACAAAACAAAATGTTTGGTTACTGGAACAAAGCAGAAACTATCAATTCAGACTTATCAACCAAACTTGATAATAAATTCAAAAGTATTACAAAATTCTTCATGTGAAAAATTATTAGGTGTTAAAATTGACAGCACACTTAGCTGGAGAAATCAAATTGACCAAGTTTGTGCTAATATATCATCCAGAATATACCTTCTTTCTAAAATAAAGAAATTTTTAGATATAAATGCAAGGAAAACATATTATAATGGGTATATTCTGCCCCTGATTGACTACTGCTGTATTATTTGGGGTGAATGTAAAAATGAAGGGATAACAAGAATTTTAAAGCTCCAAAAAAGGGCAGCAAGATTAATTCTAGATGCAGATCCTTTATCCCCCTCAGCCCCCTTATTTAAAGAACTTGGGTGGATGACAGTTGACAATAGAATCAAATACCACAAATATTTACTTCTATATAAATGTATGCGTATGGAAGCTCCAATGTACCTAGTTCAAAAGTTTAAACTGAAATCAGATAATAATCCTTACTCCTTGAGAGGTGTCACTCAAGGTAATATGATAGTTCCTAAGCCAAAAGCTGAGCTATTTAAGAAATCTTTTGTTTATTCTGGATCAGTGTTTTGGAATGGACTACCACACAAAATGCGTAAAGCTCAAAACACTTATCATGTTAGTAATATTACATTGAACTAATTGACTGTAAATTAACTATGTGTAAATATCTGTTTTTGATTGTATTGTAATTTATATGTGAGGGCCTCAGGGAAGATTAGTTTATTGTAACTAACTGAGTTTACCCTCTTTAAATAAAGAATTTATTATTATTATTATTATTATATCGTTAACTTGGATATGTATGATGGCTCGTTTTGAAGCTGAGACATTTTCACATATGTGGTTAAATTTTCGGGGTACGAAGTGAGATTACTTTTTCTGTAAATTAGCAAACCCCGAAAATCCTTTCGTGATGCGGCTCCTCGTGGTAAAAAATCCTTTTTTTAACACAATAAGTTCTTTGAAAATTTAATACTTTGAACACATTTAATAGCTCCATAGTTTTTACACATTTATTCTATGTTCCCCTACTTTCTAAATCAACACAAATGGTTAACCTCAGTCACTTGTTTATCATAGAAACGTGTCAAATATCACTACACAGAGATTTTTTGTTTACACACAACTTTTGAGTCCCTCATTTTGAGGCTCTTTAGGGTTATTGACCCAACTATGGATGCTTTTGACATACTGTATGGTCAGTTCTGTATTATTGAAGATCATACTGTATACCAACTTATTCTTGTGAGCGATTTATTTTCACAACTTTCTAGATAAAAAAAACAACATGGATTGAAAATGTAAACTTGAATAATCTCTTATATAAATTCATCAAGAAAATTTGAAAATCGCAAAATTAAATCACCATGAAGTTGGCTAGAAAGGCTTAACATGAAATATAGTATCTGGTAAAATAAGTTGTTATACAGTACGTTGACCTCTAGATATTTTGGTATCATTGCAGTGTTCTCCCCAGGCCCTTAAAGGACCGCGGGCCCGCGATGTATAATTTTTTACCGTGGTGGTATCGTTCTTACCGCGATGTATAATTTTTCTCCGTGGTGCTAAAATTTTCAGTTAAAAAATCGTAAACGACTTGTTAAATCTTTTCCGTGCGGTATAAAATTCCAGGTGAAATTTGACCAGTTCAAACCAGTTCAACACAGATTGTTTACACCACGTGATGGATTTACCTTATGAGGTTAACCTTGTTGATTGGATTTAATCAATGTGATTAACACTTGTAACATGATTCTTTTGTGTTTTAATTAAGAGTTCATAACTTTATGATCACAGATAGGTATTTTCATGATTTTATGGCTTCACACTCCACCCAAACAGTGTCTTGACCCGATAGGTACATTTTTTGTACATCATAATAGTGGCTTATTACGTATAATGGACAGCTAAACATTTCCCAATTCTTATATAATAGTATTATATGTCTCTGATTAAACCATGGCCAATATTATCTTTAATTATGACATAGTTATTGCATGATAGTCGGGTTTCAAACTGTAGTATCTGTCTGTACATATCACATGACCCAGTTAGTTCACGTAGAATATTCAAGTTTATTTACAATTAATTGCAATCTATTATATTTTATAAATAAAATGCATGACTGTACCTTCAAACTGGATATCTATATCCATAATTAATGAATAACAGAAGTAATCTTGCAAATTTTATCCATAAGCACATGTTAAATCTATTTATATCTACTTCCTGTCATTTAAGCGGGAAAATAGGGAGACTTAGTTGTTGACATTGAATATGGTTACTTATGGATCTATAGACCAAAGATAAATTTATAGTTTTAGGAATTCTTTTTGAATGGTTCATGACAAATTAAGATTTTGATTTTAGGGCAGTATTAAGTCTGTATCTATGTTTGATTATCACCAAAGACAAGAAAGGTTAATATTTACATGAAATCTATGGCAAAATGTTCTAAAATTTATGAAAAATTTCTTTTTATTAAAATCTAAGATAGAAACTGGTTCAAATAATAAAACAATATTTGCAATTGTTCTTGTTAATTTTATATCTTCTTATGACAGGAATCCTTTCACATACAACAACTTTTTTTCTAGAAACTAGAAAGTTTTTTAAATTGAACATTTTTGTTCTCTTTTGAATGATATTTTATTTTTATTGATTTTGGATTTTATAAAAGATTTAATTACTTTAAATTCAGATGAATATTTTATTATGAATCATAATTTATTTATTTTAAAAAATATTAAAGTATACAAACTGTTTTTTGATTTACTTCTTTTTTACAAATAATTTTCTGAATCAATGTCTACATAACACAGTACCAAAGTGTTAAAACAAAACAAGAGACATAAAAACTACAGTAACTAGAGCTAAGCGACGCGACACAACTAATTGCATGAAATATTTCACCAAGAAGTCCACACGCGTTACCCTGGTGCTATCCAAAAACCCTGGGGAGAACACTGCATTGGGTTGTTGTCTCATTGATGTATACTCCACATCTCCTTTTATTCATATATTATAAAAATGATAAAATTCATTAATTTGTGTTTAGAATTAAACTATAATTTACATGTTCCAGAATTAAATGCATCAGGGGCATGGGAGGCACTAACCATCCATGAAATAAAAATTTTCATTTTACTTGTAATTCTAACAAAATTCTGAGAATGCACCCACCCATATTTAATCAATTTTAGTGCCTCCCATCCCCTCCATCTAATAAATTCTAGAACAGCCCTCACATGAGTCATGGTAAAAATAGATAACATACCAAATTCTTCATACAATAAACATTGTAATTTTTTTAATGTAAAATTTTCTTGATTATGTTGGTCGTCATTATCTGTTTGTACTTGTCGTAGTTTTAACCATAAATAATCATCTATTTTATCGGCAATTTCTGGATGATTCTCATCTGGATCACAGTGACCTATTACACAATAGACAGCTCTGGAAAGAAAATTAACTACAGTAAAGAATAAATAACACAAAATTTTCAACTTGAACGTAAAATGCCTCTTTATATACTTTTATTCCAAATCATATATTTTTACAACTGTGTTTTTTTCTGAAAGCAGAATATCTGAAATAACAACATATAAGTCTATGTCAAGTTTAATTAAAACAAGAGTGTGAAATGTCTCGCCTACTATACCGACCATTGATTTTATGTTAATAGTCCTACATATAAAGTTTTACTACAAGTATCACATTAACATTTACGATCTTAGAAAATGAGGTCAAGGTCAGATAAACCAAGGCGGAAATACATGTACACCTTTAATACAATCATTCCATACACAGAATATAGATGACCTATTGCTTATAGTATAAAAGAGACAGACCAAAGCAAGGAAATTCTATATTGACCAATCAACCATGAAAATGAAGTCAAGGTCAGATGAACCCTGCCAGACAGACATGTACTCCTTAAAATCATTCCATGCATCAAATATAGATGACCTATTGCTTATAGTTTCTAAGAAACAAAGTTAACAAGGAAAACTGAACATTGACCAATGAACCATGAAAGTGAGGTGAAGGTCAGATGATACCTGCCAGACAGACATATACACCTTACAATTATTCCATACACCAAATATAGTTGAGCTATTGCTTAAAGTTTAAGAAAAACAGACCAAAACACAAAAACTTAACATAAGCAATGAACCATGAAAATGAGGTCAAGGTCAAATAAAACCTGCCAGACTGACATGTACATCGTAAAATATTTCCATACGCCATATATAGTTGACCTACTGCATACAGTATTAGAAAAACAGACCAAAGCACAAAAATTTAACATTTAGCAATGAACTGTGAAAATGAGGTCAAGGTCAAATAAAACCTGCCAGACTGACATGTACATCATAAAATATTTCCATACACCAAATATAGTTGACCTACTGCATACAGTTTTAGAAAAACAGACCAAAACACAAAAACTAAACTATTACCACTGAACCATGAAAATGAGGTCAAGGTCAGATGACACCTGCCAGTTGGACATGTACACCTTATATAGTAGACCTATTGCTTATAGTATCTGATACATGGACTTGACCACAAAAAACTTAACCTTGCTCACTGATCCATGAAATGAGGTCGAGGTCAGATGAAAACTGTCTGACAGGCATGAGGACCTTGGAAGGTATGTACACCAATTATAGTAGACCTATTGCTTATAGTATCTGAGATATGGACTTGACCACAAAAACTTGTTCACTGATCCATGAAATGAGGTTGAGGTCAAGTGAAAACTGTCTGACAGGCATGAGGACCTTGCAATGTACGCACATACCAAATATAGTTATCCTATTACTCATAATAAGAGAGAAATCAACATTACAAAAAATCTCAACCTTTTTTTTCAAGTAGTCACTGAACCATGAAAATGAGGTCAAGGACAATGGATATATGACAGATGGAAACTGCATATCAAAAGGCATCTATATACAAAGTATGAAGCATCCAGGTCTTCTACCTTCTGAAATATGAAGCTTTTAAGAAGTTAGTTAATGCCGCCGCCATCGCCCCGGATCACTTTCCTTATGTCAAGCTTTCTGCGACAAAAGTCGCAGGCTCAACAAAATAAAACATATACTCACCTTTTAAAAGGATCTGTACCATTTTTTACAATTCTTCTGTACTGTAACTGTATTTTTGTTTCACTACCTGAACTTAATCTGAAAGAAATTTAAGAACAATGTATAGGTAAAACCCGTTATTTAAAAAGAAAGGTTTCAATTAATTTACCATCTTTCATACCAGAAAGATTTTTTTTAATTCAAAAATATTACACACGTGGTTTACAATACTCCACTGGCACACCTAACCAGTGATTGGCTATAAATAACAGTATTTTCTGTCTTACAAGGTTTCCAAAATGACTAAGTTCCTAAGTTTGGAAAAATAAGGAAAAATTGCTCAAAACGATTCTAAAATAAAAGTGCAAAACTTCAACATGCGTGCAATCTTTCTATGAAGTTTCAAGAATCTGGGTTGAAAACTGTAGTAGAAGGAATCAATTACTGAAATTATGAACCCACTTTTCCCTGCCAGCCCATCTACCACCCTATTTCATCATATACTATAAGCTGGTTTAAGACTTTGTCCAACCCTTACCAAGTATCAATTTGAAGGTGACATCATGGAGAACTAATTCCCATATATTTTTAATGCATATTTTACCTGTGATCCTCACTGGAAACATACTCATGCATGAAAGACTTAAAATCTCCAAGATTATGCCTGAAAATAGATTCAATTATACATGTAATAATGACAAAACAAATTTGTTATGTATTTTTGTTGATGTAAACAGTAAAGAATTATGTTAACATTTTCAGAATAATGACAGCTCTTCTAATTCAATGCTAAACATTGCTTCTGTTAACATGCAATGGTTTGATAATAATTTGTTGATTTTCCTAAGGATATACAACAACAAATAATAAAATATACGGGTAAGAGACATATAGACCTTATGTTGCAAAGGAGCATCTCAATTCTAACTATTTATATACATGTACTCGTTAAAACTTTAAAATACCTACCCACATTTATCAACCACTTGTTGTGCTGCCTGCAAATCTCCACAACGTAAACAGTAATAAACCATAGCCCATGTAGGATGCCCATCTACTAAACCATCCTTAAATACACAATGAAACAATGTTGTACATAAATGTGAATAATGTTGTATGAACCAAGTATTCTATCCTTTTAGCTATCTTACCTCTAAATTGAGTATATTTGAAAGCCTGACATTCAGAAAACTTCTGAAAATGCAATATGTATCAAGTATTTTAACCTTTTAGGTATTTTACCTCTTACTGGGATATAATTGGATAGCTGACATTAGGAAAACTTTAGACAATATTGTATGAACTAAGTATCCTAATCCTTTGGGTACCTTACCTCTAAATTGGGTATATTTGGAGGTCTGACATTAGGAAAACTTCTGACAGTGTTATAAGTACCAAGTATTCCAATCTTTTGGGTACCTTACCTCTAAATTGGGTATATTTGGAGGTCTGACATTAAGAAAACTTCTGACAGTGTTATAAGTACCAAGTATTCCAATCTTTTGGGTACCTTACCTCTAAATTGGGTATATTTGGAGGTCTGACATTAAGAAAACTTCTGACGATGTTATAAGTACCAGGTATTCCACCCCTCTGAGCTTGTTGTAGATTGCTGCTAATTGTTATATCAATGTATTTAGCATATCTGCAAGAAAGAAATGTTAAATAAATATCTAATAGATACAATCTTCATAAAATATACTTAAGTAGGTATAAAACATTACATGTATTACAGTCAAAAGGTAGATTTGAAAAAAAGGAATACAGAAATATTAACTGATCACATTAAATAACAGAGGACAGCAGTCAACAGATAATGTCATTTTTACATTTACCTAAAAGAGAAAATCCGAAATATGAGTTCCAAATTCATCTCCAGCCTCCTAAGCTCTAAATAAAAGTAATAATATGTTTATAACAAATTCTTATATGTTCAATCAATTCAAGAATGTATATCTCAGAAGCCAATTTTATTTTTGTATGGATATTTTGTATGTGTTTTGGTATTTTTTGTTATTTTCTTTGTAAAAGATGTTACATTCAATTTTATCCACTTCAAGATGTCTGACCAGATTTATTTTGCTTCATACACTAAATCTTCATACGGTTTACAAGTTTTGTGATATGATCCTTAAATAGAAACATTACGTTTGTTCTAGGTATTCCCTGGCTTTATCTACAAAGGCTGACTGTGTTCTGTAGTCTTGTCTTGTGTCTTTGATACTTTTGGCAGAAATAAGAGGAACTTCTACCATACATTTGACCATCTCCCACAATTCTGTTACTTGCTAAAATTATAATAATATAAATACTATCAATAACCAATATGTCAAGAGAAATTATGCCACTAACAGATAGTGAGTTTTCTCCCATTCAACAGAAATCTCAACTAAACTAGAAGTACCAATGAGCCTGAATTGTTCACCTGGCATTTTTGTATCAAATTGATACAATGCAAAACGAATATTTTCTGGCAAAATATTGTTAAAAGTAACCTTTCAAGAGCAATAACTCCTTTAAGGTGTTTTTTTTTACTTATCATTTTTTATATTCAGTTTCCGCAAACAAAACCCCAGAATGGGATAAAATCATCATTGCATAGATTTATGAACTGCATAAAAAGTAAGTGTTTGATACATCTTAAGTTCAATAGCAAAAATTGAAGATTCTTTTGATTAAAATTTCAATAAAGAATATAATTTATTGATAACATTTGAATAAACTTTGGATCCAATTTTTTTGGAGGAGAGAGCATCATACCTTATCATCAATTGTCCTGGCTACATCTAGGAACATATCTCCAAGATTTGGTCTGATGCTGCCTGCAACAACGTGCTCATTGTAAACATAAACCTAAAAAAAAATCAGTAATTTTGTTCCTATACATATTCAATGGATGCTAAAACAAAGTCACTAGTCATAAACATGTACTTCTATTTTTGTAAAAATATGTTTGTCTAATAAAATACTTATTAGGTAGTTAATCACTTTAAACTTGAAATATCACATTAGAATACCACTTCTGTGACAGTAGTTTGACACTAGCATCAGTTATTTATACAAATGACATCTTGCTTTCGATTTACTAGAACTTGTTAAACTTTGCAATTTACTCACTGAAGAACGGTGGTTTACTTGATGTATTCTGGTTCCTCAAATGATAAAACCACCAAGTACAGCAAATCACTTACCTGTCTGGCATATGCCATTTCTATGTTGTCAAGGTTACTGCGACCTTGTATACTGACAGGCTCGGCTAAAAAGCTCTGTAAAATAATAAACATGGTTTATTTCTTGTTTTGAAAAAAATATGTTTTTTTTAAATATACATGCTCATGTCAGCATTTTCATAAAATCAACTGTGACTTATTTCTTTTATAAACCAGGAATATTCTAAACTTATATGAATTATAAATAATATATCAAGCTGGTCTGATCTGTTCAATGAGTTACGTTTCTGACGACATAATTATCCACTCATAGGTTTTTCCCTATAACATTTGAATAGTATAACTAATATAACTTATATAACTATGATATTAGAACTCTCAATAAGTTAAAAACCTCAGATTCTGGTTGGAAATCTACTGTATCTTGTCCAAGGCCTCTCAAGGAATTTAAAATCTTTTGTTTCTCTCTTTCCCATTCATTCTCCATACATTCCCAATGTCGTCGTTCCACTTCATCAAATGTCTTTAAAAAGAGAACAAATTACATGATTTAAATTCACTATTTGCCTCTACATGAGTAATTGTGTATTTCACTTTCAATCATAGTTATTACTGCTAATCCTTTTTATTAAAATAATAAACACAATAAAAGTGAATTTATTTTTGAATTTTTCATGTAAAACAAAGATATGGAAGTTGCATCACCGAAAATATGCCTGTCAAATCAAGAGCTATTCATTTTTACTTGTGTTGACACCTGACAGTAGAAAATATAGATAAAGTACAAACAATTTACAGTATTATTAACTTTTAAGCAAATGCTATTGATAATTCAGATTTTCAAAATAAAACTTTTTATTTAATTAGGTAAATAAAAGAACTTTTCACAAACAAACATACTCCCAATTACCACACATTATGCATGCATGAAAGTTTCCCCTCTCTTTTTAACAAGACTGGATTAGATGATTAATCTTTATTTGCACATCAATTTCATGCCAGATTAAATGATATTCATTCATATTAAAAATACTTTTAACAGTGTGATGTTCAAAAACATTGATTTACTGCCATTTAATAGTCAGAAGAAAATTCATTTGTAATTTATAATCAACTTGAAACTTTCCGTTCATTTATTTTCTAAAAAATTGAAAGTAAAATATTATTCTTTAAAAAAAAAACAGGTACGAAATTTCATAGTCCATGCAGAAAAACTGATGAAATAGGTTCATTTATGTGAAATTATGTCATGACATCCTGTATGCATTTGGCAGTTTAAAAAAATAATTATCCTGACGTACAATTCCTCAACAAATTACCAAAATTGGGTGAAAATAATTCTGGATCCTTGAACACAAGTACTTACATTTTTTCTAGTCTGTTCTATTACAGCTAATAATGCATTCTCTCTTTCATTTTTCAGAAAACTCTGAATAAAAACACAAAAATTTACTATTATTAAAATTTCTTGCATAAAATTATGTAACCTGACTTTCCTCATCCAAGTTAATATCAAGAGTAAATATGGAACTTGCTGTGAAGCGTCAGAATTTCTTCATTATTTAGTTTGTGAACATTGAGACTACATATTATTTTGTATTGCAGTCATTATTCATAAGAAAGTAGTCATCCTGAACATGCATGAAATATTCCAACTGGACCTTAAGCAACCAACAATCAATAATGAGAAAGCAAAAAAAAGTTTATAGTCTACTGTGGATTCATATTTTTTTGTTGATACCATTTTTTCGTGGATTTCATTGGTACACGGGAACTATAAATCTAAATGTTCAATGAATTACAAATTTTCTATAGGAATGCATGCACTAGACAAAACAAGGAAATCAAATATGTGAGAATGCAAGTTTTCCTCAATTCATGAAAATTGGTAACCACGAAAAAATAAATAGCCTGTCTCATTGAAATTAATGAAAATTAAAATACCTCTTCTCAGACTGACGATACATATATCTTCCATTTTAAAACTGGATAAAGTGATTAAAAATGTGCTCCGCCTAGAGCAGCTGGATACGACCACAGAGGTCGAGCTCTGAACAGTTGGGGCAAGTATGGACACAATATTCCAGCTTGATACAGCTCTGAATTTGGATAGTGATTAAATATTTGACACATTATAGATTTTCCACCCAGAATAAATGTGGTCAGATAACTTAAAAATTTGAAATGGGACATTTATTCTACTTAATAGTCTAATTTTAGACCCTTTGGACCTCAATGTAGACCTATCTAAAAATATCCAATTATCAATATAGTAAAACATGATAAAAACCTCAAACAATTCAAGACTTTAAATCAATCCTCATTGAAATTGGTTAAAAGATTTGTATTTATTTTCAATTGAAGATTTCTTGCTGTTGTGCAATACTTTGCTGTTGTTCAATACTTAGTAAATTTGTTTACAAACTAAATATAATAATTTACACACCCTGTTTGGTGTGTATCTCCTGCCATATCAGTATTATAGATCAGAAATAATTTATGTTAGAACCAGCTTAGCCAGTATTAGAAAAGTCTTGTTTTTTGGCCCCTATTTGGCCTCTAGTTTCAACGATTAAAGCCACAACCCACAAACCGACCCGAACCTTCTGTGTGTGGTATGGAACCTTGTGGTACAATTTCATAGAGATATATTGACTAATACTGAAGTATTAGTCTGGAAACCAGAAAAACCTTGTTCTCCCCCCCCCCCCCCCCCCCTTTTTGCCCCTTATTCCTGAACAGTTTGAGCCATATCCCCCAAAGTCAAACCCAATCTTCCCTATGTGGTATGGAACCTTGTGTTTCAATTTCATAGAGATCCATAAACTAATACTTAAGTAATTGTCCATTAACCAGAAAAACCTTGTTTTCCCCCCTTTTTTTGCCACTAATTCCTGAACGGTTTGAGCCATAACCCCCAAAGTCAATCCCAACCTTCACTTTGTGGTATGGAACCTTGCGGTACAATTTCATAGAGATCCATACACTTATACACAAGTTATTATACTGAAACTAGAAAAATGCCTTTTTTGGCTCCTTTTTCACCCCTTATTCCTAAAGTTGGGACCATAACCCACAAAATCAATCCCAACCTTCCTTTTGTGCTATTGAACCTTGTGGTTAAATTCTAAATTTTTTGCGGTCGTATAAAATATTAGTGTCTTTCTTCACCTGTATATCAGTATCTCTGACAGGTTCCAAAGGTTCAAATGTCTTAGCAGCACTCAATCCCTCTAATTTCTGGGATATCTTTGGGACATCAAAGCCTTTAGTTCCAAGTAGTATTGATCTGAAAAATGAATGCACAAAAAATCAAATTCATTTTATTCATTATTTCAAATGGTTTGAGGTTGGAATTTTTTGTTTTGATTAGTTCTGTATAAATATCATAGCATCAAGTATAATACCAATCTATCAACCATAATTTTTATCCTACTACAATAAATAAGACATATATATTAGTATGATTTGTGTTTTTTTTCGTTATCTAACTAACCCACTTATTTTAATTCTGCTTGAATTTTTTTTAATCACTAATGTCATGATCAACTAAATTTTCAAGTTCTTCACCAAAAACAATAAATATTTTTTGACCTGTTTGAAATGTAAGCATCACTATCATAACTATTAGTTCTTGATTAATATAGATATAATGTATATATGAATATTACGCTTTCACATCAGACGAGTCTTGACTGATAGGAGCAACTTTTGACAACAATCTTTCCCCAGCTTCTAAGATCTGAGCTAAGTTACGTGTGACTCTAGGTAAATCTGTGCCACTTTCCATCTCTGCTGTCAACTGTTCCGCCTGCTGTTGCAGGTCACTGAAATTATCTGATTCAATGTCCATGTTCATCTTTATCTATTTGCCCTAAAATTACAAAAACAAAAAACAACTTGAAAACTTCATGCCAATAAGGGACCCAGTTGTACATTTTTGTGTAAAGCACAAAAACAAATACTTAATACTGATCCAAACAAAATAATAGTTATATATGAACTCATCATAGATACAAGGATTGAAATTTTTTACGTCAGATATGTGTTTCATTCTACAAAAGACTCATCAGTGACGCTCGAATAAAAAAGTTATAAAGTACAAATTTACTAATTTGATTTTTAATAAAAAAAAAAATGTTTTCTTGACATGTACGTATTTCAAATACACATTTACATTGTAACTTAAATATCAAAGTATAACATATCATCAATAAATTACATGACATTGACTGGATAGGATCTAAATAATGACCACTTCACTGAACTATTTTGTTTGAACTATCAAAGGTAGTGATCAACCTTGGAAGAAAAAGATATCTAGTCAGTCCTACAGGGTTTTGATTGCATTTAGTGCAATCTTTACCCAAAAACTAATCTTATTCTAAATTTGATGTCATTTCTTTTTTACAAATTGAAAATATGTTTGAAAGGGCTGTGCTGTACCAAAACTATGTTGCTGGTAAAATTGCCAGACAGGTTTTTGCTGCCACTCTTTTAATTTCGGAGCTAAACTTGCAAATTCCATCAGGAGATTTTGTAGATAGTATTTGATAATGAATGATTGCTGCCATTTTGCTGGAGCTCATTCTTCAAGTCAAGGTACTTTGTACAATTACAATAATGTAACAAAATACTCTTTTAAATACTTTTATTTATGAAAAATCTTCATCCTGGATTCATTTAGTCAATTATAAATCAAGGTGCAAGGTCACGCTTTTGATAAATTTTTTGTATAAAGATCATTTTCAAGATGCTGAACATTGAACACAACCTAGAAAATTACAAAACATATCTTTATCCTATAACTTTTTTAAATGATTTCATGAAAAGTTGCCTACAAAATTATTACTCAATGAAGAAGCTATTTGTATGCAATTTACTAACAAAAAGTCCTTCAATATCCAATTGACAATCACATGGAGTAGTCTGTCTTCACAAATCACGCTTTTTCATGCATACAATAGATGGATGGATTGCTGTTTATCGTCCAGTGGCAAATATTACATGGATATCATGATCAGGACAAGACGAGAACATGGTAATCTAATATGAAAATGAACCTATCTTTGAACTAGACAGACATGTACACAATAAGCTAGATTTTTAACATGCTAGTTCACTAGCTAACAGCCTGCATAAAAACAGCTACAACAGTCAGGGGAATTACTTAAATGACTGATTCAAGTAACATTTTGTGAAGAAATGTTACAAGAAAGAGTTGTCTTTCTTTAATAATCATCTTTTTAAGTACATTGTAGTACAAATAAATCACTAGACTAAGTGATTTAATTTTATTGTAGCTTTAAATATATAATATTAATGATCCTGGATTGCATCAAAGGTATAAACATCGCTACTTAAAAGAAGCAAAAGATCCATTTTTTAAAATTTTTACTATTAATTATTTATAATCTAAACCTGTATATGTAAAATTTTAGTAAAGCTATAAAATAACTTATTCCAGTAATTCTCCCGACTGTACAAGGACACATTATTCAGACACTGAGATAACAGCCTTTGCTCAGACTCCAAAATCCTGCATACCTGATCTAACTCTTAAATGCTGCATTATAAGATAGGATATTTTTATTCCAATTAAAGGGCCAATGAAGAGCAAAGTAATTTAATACAATGACTTTTTGTAATTGACAGAAATAATTTTTACAATCATATAAAATATGAATATAATCAACTAAATTTTAAGATCTGTGGGCACAGCCAGGTCAGAGCCCTAAGCATATGTGTAAAAAACGAAGTAATAAAACAGATTATATATAATATTAACAGGCAAATATTCATAATGGGTTACACATAAACCAAGAACTGACTTCATCCTCTTTCACAGGTACATTTTGTAACACCTGCCTCATGAGTCATATCTAAGATAATTCAGTAATCACCAGGTTGATGGAGTTTTCAAAGACGATGTTAAATTATTTTTAGTGATTGAGCCTTAACTATCTAAAAAAATTCACAAGAAAACAATTCTTCAAAAGATTTACCATTGGAATCAATGGCTATTCATGCTATTGCAACTGATAAACTGTAAAACATTAAAAAGAAAGAGTGGAGGAATACATGTGCTTTCATTCAGTAACTACATTAAGGACAGAATTACATATATATGTTTAAGTGACTGAGTAACCTTTTCATGTGGCAAAGCCTATTCTGACAATCTGTGTTGATGTTCTTGAGCCGGTTCAAAACCGCCAAAGAAAAATAAGATTTTTTTAAATTGAATCATTAAAATGTTTTAATCAATGTAAGTGATCAAAGGAATTAGTCTCAAGCGTCTCATCTACTTTGATTTTTCCAAAATGTCTGCGCCCATAATTTGTCAGGTGTTTCCCAGGATTGCTATATTTTCTGTTTTACTTTCAATTTAGAAAAATATTTTTTAATATATAGTTAAATTAGTTTCTTGGTAAGTATCCACAAGGATTTGTATAGTGATCACTATACAAATCCTTGGTCTCTAGGGGTAAAGTTATGGTTACTAAGATCTGGGAACAGTATGTCAATATGTATGTTCCTGCACAGGAGTTTGAAATCCTAGCAATAAAGGTCGCTTCTCTCTTCGAGAGAAGCTCTACTGTGATAGTCGAGTTTGGCATATTTATACACCTTTATTGCTAGGATTTCAAACTCCTGTGGTTCCTGCTAAGATGTCATGCCTTAGCAGTTCCTTTATAACATTAGTTCAAAATAGAAGAAATAATATGGCATATTGTTTCCTCTGAAAGAAATAATACAGTTTTTGTTCTCAACTGAATAAAGACATAGAATTTTTGTTACAATAGGAACATATATAATATTATAAAGACATTGTTTATTTGATAGAACTATTGTTAGGGGGGAAATAATGAGGATAGATGACTGCTTAACTTCCAGTGGCAAATTAATATGCATACTCAGGACGAGAACATGTTAATGTAATATGAGTATTTAACCTGCTTTGTAAATTGTACTAGACTGACAAGCTGAGCCAGATTTTTAACATGCTAGTTCACAAGGTAACAGTCTGCAGGAAGATATGTCACCAAACCCGGAATCATTATTCTGCCTTCGAGCCAACCAGTCTTTGCTCTTACTCTTTAATGCCGCGTGCATGGAAAAGAAGCAGCAAATACCAATTTTAAAGTCTTTGGTTTGACCTGGCCAGGGTTTGAACCCACGACCTCCTGCACTCGAGGCGAACACGTTACCACGAGACCACTGAGGCAGTTTTGTTAGGAGGAACAAATACATGAATATACATTGACAATATTGCAAAGATACCTCGCATTTCTTAAAACAAAGAAAGCATTAAGATGTTTAAAGCTATGTCATTTATATGACGGATCATTATAAAATGATTTTAAAATGTATTAATTTAAATATAAAGTTTATAAAACGTACAGAATGATTTTTCTTTCCGTTAGAAATCTTAAAATGAGTTACCATGTTCCTGCTAAACATACAGTGGCAGATATTTCCAATTAACAATTTATACAAGAGTAATTGAATGTTGCACTTTCCTGACATGGAGCATCAGATTTGATATCCCCATTCCATTCCAACCAGACATGGCTTTGTTTTTATACACCTCAAACAGCAAAACAGACAGCTCAAGCGGGAGAGCCATATCGATCTACCAGATAAAGATTTTTTAACCAAATACAATACCACTGTGTACGCTCCATTCTCCATAGATCGCAAGTGCTGATTGTTATGATATTATTTTTCCAGATAGATACCATTAAGCTTTACATCTGATCTCCAAATTGGAACCTAAAATTACCTTCACTGCTTAACATGATTAAATAATTAGACTGTAGTTTACAGTAAAGCCCACACAAAATGGTGGCATATTGAACAGCCTGGTCAGCTGTATCATTCTATTTTTATTAGATGATCTAGATGATTAACAAATCTGTATGCTGTTCTCTATTAGTAGAACAGTACAACTTTCCTCTGCAGTAGTATTTTTTGGAGTTTATTTGAACCAAATTTTCAGCCTGCCTGGTCCTTTGATTTAGCTTTTAGCATTGTTATGCCATCATGACTTAAACATTTTTCAAGCCAGTTAAGATCTACAAATATTTAAAATCTTGCCAAAAATTGTTAGTAGACTCTTTGTAAGAGTGACTGCTCTTAAATGATTGTTTTTTTTACCCTTTTTTGTGTTTTGGGCAAAAACAAAAGAAGATAGAGAGAAACTGTAAATTGGAAAAATGATCAGCAATACAAAATCAAATAAAAAGAAATTTTTTATCTGAATTCTATTCTAGTCTACATTGTTGAAGATACACATAGACCTAGGTGAGCCACACAGGCTCTTTAGAGCCTCTATTAATTATTATTATGATAAAATATTTTGAACCATAATACGCTCATATATTATTATATTACTAGTAAATTTATGATTTGAAAGATGCAATTGTCTCAAAGCAATGAATGATGCCAGATAGTGATATGAACATTTTGAAATGTATCAAGGTTAACAGTTACTTAACTTTTTTTGTAGCATCTCAGGAAAAACATTAATTCAAGAAATATAATGTCAAAATGCCAACTAGACAATTTTTCCATTATGCAAAATGTTTATTAAATATTTTCCTCACCTAAGTATTTATTCCAAATTATGTGATGAGCTAAACACATTGAATATACATGAATACATAATTGATTTTATTTTGGTTCATTTACAAAATGTATATGTTTCGGAGTTTTGTGTGACGTCCATTTTTTCTGAACTAGTATACATTATTGATAAGGGGCCTGCTGAAGCCCACCTCTGGGTACGTGATTTTTTCGCTGAGTTGAAGGCCCATTGGTGGCCTTGGGCTGTTTAACTTTTCTGATCTTTGGTCAGGTTGTTGTCTCTTTGACACATTCCCTGTTTCCATTCTCAATTTTATTGATTGATTGTTATATTTGTTTATACCTATTTAGCTTTAATTTGTCAGAGGACCTCAGGGAAGAATCTGTTGTGTGTTAAATATTTTACCCTCTATATAACAAATCAGTACTAACCTACTAACTATTTCAGTCTATTGAATTCACTTTTTTAATTTAAAAATGAACCTATTGATTATTTTTCAGTATTGATAGATAATGACGGAGAAAATAGATTTCCACCACAAAGTGATTTTGGCTCCTATGGTTAGGGTATCTACATTACCACTTAGACTTTTGTCTCTTAGATATGGAGCAGATTTAGTATATTGTGAGGTAAAATTGTTATATAATTATATATCTATGCAGTTTTACCCTGTAACATTCTATATGTACAATGTACCTGTCCAAAGTTAGGAGCCTACATGTAATTCAATGGTTGTCCTTGGTTGCTGTCTGTCATTTTTTGTTTTGTTTATTGTTTTATTATAAATTAGGCCATTGGTTTCTTAGTATAAAGTGTTTTAAATTTTGTCATGTTGAGGCATTATATAGCTAAGCAAACAGTATGGGTTTTGCTCATTGTACTGTCACATATGTGCTTACATTTATATCACTTGGTCTCTGATGGATAGTTGTCTCATTGGCAATAGGCCACCCTTAAAAAATTCTTTGTTTGATGTTGCCTACCCATGCCTTATAGAGTTGGCTAGGTAGGTAGGGATATTTTTTTTTGCCAACAACATAAGTCACATGTTACTAGACAACAAAAAAATGTGTCATAAAATTTTTCAGGTAGGCTGCTTTTTATACGACCGCAAAAATTAAAAATTTTTTGGTCGTATATTGGTATGACGTTGGCGTCATCGTCGTCATCCGGCGTCGTCCGAAGACGCATTGGTTTTCGCACTCTAACTTTAGTTTAAGTGAATGGATCTCCATGAAATTTTACCATAAGGTTCAATACCACGAAAGGAAGGTTGGGATTGATTTTGGGGGTTATGGTACCAACAGTTAAGGAATTAGGGGCCAAAAATAAGCATTTTTGTAACTTTCAGACAATAACTTGTGTGTAAGTGTATGGATCTCTCTGACATTGTACCACAAGGTTCCATATCACAAAGGGAAGGCTGTAATTGATTTTGGGGGTAATTGCCTCAAAATTTTAGGAATAAGGGGCCAAAAAAGGGGCAAAAAACAAGCATTTTTCTAGTTTCATGACAAAAACTTGTGTGTAAGTGTTTGGATATTTCTGAAATTGTACTACAAGGTTTCATATCACAAAGGGAAAGCTGGAATTGAGTTCGGGGGTAATTGCCTGAAACGTTTAGGAATTGGGGGCCAAAAAGGGGCCAAAAATAAGCATTTTTCTAGTTTAAAGACAATAACTTGTGTTCAAGTGTATGGATCTCTCTGAAATTGTACTGCAAGGTACCATACCACAAAGGGAAGGCTAGGATTGAGTTTGGGGTGATGAATCATAAGGGGGTTCAAAAAATTTGGGGGGGGGGTTTCTTTTTTTTTCTTTTTTTCCTTTTTTTTTTCTTTTAAAATTTTCCATTTTAAGTTGGTTATTTCTGATTTATATTTAAAAGCAAATAATAATGATATGGTAGGAGATACACACCAAACAGGATGTGTAAATTTTTATATAATAAGTATTGTGTAATAGCAAGAAATTTTCAATTGCACAGTATTGCACAATAGCAAGAAATCTTCAATTGCACAGTATTGCGCAATAGCAAGAAATCTTCAATTGCACAGTATTGCGCAATAGCAAGAAATATCCAATAGCACAATATTGCGCAATAGCAAGAAATCTTCAATTGCACAGTATTGCGCAATAGCAAGAAATATTCAATTGCACAGTATTGTGCAAAAGAAGATACTTCTTATAAATTGCTTATTTCTTGATCAATTTCAATGGGGTTTTATTCTTGAATTCTTGGGGTTCTTTAATATGCTGAATATAACCGTGTATTAAGTTTTTGGATTTTGGGCCCCGTTTTTAAATTGGTCCACATTGAGGTCAAAAGGGTCCAAAATTTAATTTTGTTTGATTTCATCAAAAATTGAATTATTGGGGTTCTTTAATATGCCTAATCTAACCGTGTATTTAGATTCTTAATTTTTGGTTCCGTTTTCAAATTGGTCTACATTAAGGTCCAAAGGGTCCAAAATTAAACTTTGTTTGATTTTAACAAAAATTGAATTTTTAGTGTTCTTTGATATGCTGAATCTAAACATGTATTTAGATTTTTGATTATGGGCCCAGTTTTCAAGTTGGTCCAAATCGGGGTCCAAAATTAAACTTTGTTTGATTTCAACAAAAATTGAATATATGGGGTTCTTTGATATGCTGAATCTAACCATGTATTTAGATTTTTGGGCCCCGTTATCAACTTTGTCCACATTGAGGTCAAAAGGGTCCAAAATTAAACTTTGTTTGATTTCATCAAAAATTGAATTCTTGGGGTTCTTTGATATGCTGAATCTAACCATGTATTTAGATTTTGGATATTGGACCATAATAGGTGAATGTCCAATTTAAAATTTTTAAGTTCTTAGACCACATTCATTCTGTGTCAGAAACCTATGCTGTGTCAAATATTTAATCACAATCCAAATTCAGAGCTGTATCAAGCTTGAATGTTGTGTCCTTACTTGCCCCAACTGTTCAGGGTTCGACCTCTGCGGTCGTATCAAGCTGCGCCCTGCGGAGCATTTTATTAGGTCATTGTAGGTGGGTAGCTATAGGTAGGCAACATCAAACAATTTAAATTGTATTTTTGGCCTTACTTTTAAATTGTGTCAACAAATTTTGTGAAATTGTTGTATATTACAGGTACATGTGCATGGAACTCGACTAATATTGATTGAGAATCTTTTATATCATGTTTATAGGTTACTGGTAGGTAATAATGTCTGGACACTTTAATGCAGTTATTTCTTTTATGATTATCATTAAGGGCATCTGATACAGTTTCACGTTATATTGTCATTTTTATAATTTTAAAATATTTTGTAGGCCTGGGCCAGCTATAAAGAAATCACCAAATTAAACATAGGCTACTGTGCTTGTTTTCGAGAAAATTGAGGCTGGAAATTGGGGATTTTGAAATTTTGGTAAAAAAAATTAAGCAAAGTTATAAAATTTTTGGAGTAGATATTCTTCGTCATAAATTAATACCGGTAATGTTGGATTCAATCTGAAGTGTGATAAGTGAAAATAAGGAAAAAATGAATCCATACAAGAATGACTAGTTAATTATTCAAACCATGCTTAAAATTACGGATAAGATGCTCCAAGTGGGATATTTTTTTAATCTTAAAATGTGGAAATCGAGAGGTTCTTATAATGTCATTTTCCTCAATTTTCTACCTTTACTGTCTTTTCTCATGCTTTCTCTAAATAGAAAATAAAAGATATATGTCTACGTGCTTGTTTCGAAGAAAAATCATGATTACCGGTAATCCTAAAATTTACATCCCCCTTTGGTAACCTCAACGTTAGTGTGAAAATGCACGACGTTGCTGGGTAACAATTTCAACATCTCCAGCCAATTATCCCTGCAAGAATATCGGCGACATTTTTCATGTGTATATATATATTGCATATAAAGAGCTACCTTAAAATAGTAATATTGTTTTTGGAAATAAAAACATTTGTATCATAAATACCTCTCTCTTTTTATTCTGTTCATCTTCCAAGTGAGAAACATCTCAGGTATAATTATTGCGGACTGTTGAATTTCTTTACGGCTTAATTAAAAGACTCACAGCAACTTAGAGCTAGACATGTCAATACTGTGTGCACACTCGTGTATTGTTTAAGACCATATGTTGACCTCTAGAGTAGATGTGTTTTGTTTTAGTTGGTGGGCTGCTGTTTCAATGACTTCTTTTTATTCACATTTTGATCTTTTTTAAGGATTTCTAATTTTTTCATAAAATCAAACTGTTATTCGGGCGAATGATTACAGTTGAAGAAAACTTTACAATAATTTTGAAATTTTTCATAATTTTTTATCTAGCAAAAATGATTGATTGTATATCTGGAAGACAGGACTTGTTACCTTTACTTCCCCCATAACTTTGGTTTTTGTGTCCTTTTTATTCATCTCCCAAATTTAAAGCAAATTACTTGAGGCATTTATAATCTGGTTACTTAATTTTCAGAAATACCACATAATATTGTAGAAACCTCCAAGTATAGCTGTGATGATTTTTGTACAGATTTAAAGACCTTTTAAAAACTATCAGTGTGTAATAAATTTATGAAAAACTAACCCTAGGCTACCTCTTTTGGTTTTGTACTATTATATTGGCATGCTTTCTCCTCGTAATAACCAGTATTTCATGGGGGTAGGGTAAAAGTTTCGGTTAAAATCAGAATACTTTCCTTGTAGTGTAATTTTGTTAGTAAATAACTATATATATTTTTAAAAGTTGAATCATTGTTAATAATGGTGGCATGCCATTAATACTGCGTCCTCTCATATTTGACATAAATAAATGGAATACAATGTTTCTTGAGGAAATTTACTTCTTTTGATGTTTTTTATACAATGGATTATAATAATTAAAACTTGATTTTTTGCACTATCTGAACTTTCGATATGAGATTTTAAAGATCATTGACACAAATTGATATTGACTTTGCTTGTAACTAAAATGCGTTTTTAAACAATTTTTTCGTGTGCTGTCAGACAAACTGTCTATCAGAAAATCAGATCCAAATCAAGATTTGATCAGGGATGAATGATGATAAAAATGATAATTGGCAAACATTATGTTAGAACCAAATGGGTCAGTCGTCTTAAGATTCCTCCATGTATGATATTGAATTGACTTAATTTTTGATGACCTCACAGAAGCTTCAAGACAAGGAACAGCAGAAACAGTAGTATATGTGTTTAATTTCTTATGATTTTATTAGACTTTTGTCTCATGTATTATAACTATACATACCCAAAATGTTAGAATTCAATGCACTAATCTTAAGGGCGTAGAAGTTGGCGTGTGTGAGAAACATAAATTGGAGCATCGTTTATACTCAATATTGTTCCAGAGTTTTTTTATTACTGAAAATTACATGCATGATGTCCTGCAGTAAGTGACATTTTGGGGAAAATTTAACGCTTAACGTCGCACCAAGAGTTAACTCCCTTGAAACTGTATCGGATGCCCTTAAATCTCATAAACATAATTGAAAAAAATTGACATTTTACATATAGTTTTTGGTAAGATTGAATATGAGCAATAGCCATACACAAAATATATTTCACCCACTTCAACATTTTTTGGAAGACATCTTACATCAAAATACATTTTTGAGGTAATGATATGGATGTTGCTTTGTATTTGGGATTGGGTCAGTTTTTGCATTTTTTCTCTCACGTTTCCTAAATGGAAGAGTTTTAGAGGCCTAAAACGTACAATATAAGACAACATTCAAATGTATTGTTGATATTCTGACAAACTAATGTCTTGTGAACATCTGAAGGGTGTTATATGATGGAAATATATATTACTATGCAATAATGTCAAAACTACAAGATATTATCACTGCAACTGTAAAAATGATTTATCATGAAATATACACTCTTTCATTTTTAGGAAATAATTGATTTTAAAATACTCAGCTCAACAAGAGTAGAGAATGGTAAGTAAATGACTAAGTTTTTGTAGACTCTAATCCTCTCAGCAAGACAAAAGATGGAAGATGAAAGTATTGAATTTTGATATTTTAATTCTTTTAAGGGTTAAATAAGACCTAATCGAGATACCTCTTGCAAGTCAACAAATAGTTTTGAAAGCATTTTGGAGATAAAACATCTTATTGACACACACTAAAACTTTTAATGCAGAAAGGAATCTAGTTGCAACACAGTAGTTAAGTTTTGAAAAAATGTTCAATTAAAGAAAAAAAAAACAGATAGGTTCATGAGCTAATTTTTGAGATAAAAATATAAGAACTAACTAGAACAAAGGGTCACTGGTAGATCCTTGGCTTTTTCATGGGAAATATATTTAGGGAAATGATTGTTAAACTGTTTAAAAATTATAAGAAAAAAGAAACATATCAAAATGTTTTACCAGAAGTGTATTTGAGTTGGTAGTTTTTAACAAAGTATTGAGAAACTTAGAAATTGCTGGGCATTTTTCTTTTTTATGCATAGCTTATAAAAAATGGGAGGGGTTACAAAATAATAAGGAAAAATTGAAAACTTGAAAGTCGAACATTCTTAAGTAGCCCTTGCAACAATCAAAATAGATCTGGCCAGTGAAAAGAAGCTTACACTAAAGATGTATTTACATTAATGACTATTACAGATATACTTGGGACTGTTGACTATGTTATGTCAGATGGTAACGTGGTATTTAGAACCTGTGCACAGGAAAAAGGAAAACTCTTCTTTCAATTGGTATGTTTTGTCATTTGTTATTGTAGTAGTAATGATAAGTAATCCGTTGCTAGTTATTAGTATCATGTGCAATTTTTGCAGATTTATTAAAAATTTACAATAATTACAATGACTAATGAGCAGGTGGTCTGGGCTCCCAGAAGCTGATACAAAAATGGTGTGCAAAATACAGATTCCAGCAGACCTTCTGTTGTCATGGTCAAGTGGAGATAAGTCTTCACCCTACACACAACACTGAAGCTTCTCTCAGCTGTTGCTGTGGTAACTGGCATACATAGCAAGATAAGCATACCTTGCATGCAAGTTACGATACAGGTCATATTACGTAGCTTTGAGTGTTTCAGCGAGAGTTGACATGTTATTTGCTTCTGATATGCCGTTCCACTTTGCTTTGCATCTGAGCACATTAATTCTGAATTCATCAATACTTGATTAGTCAAATTGGTCTTAAATGTTTCGAAGACTATATTTAGTATGCAGTTGAAACATAACATGTTAAATCAATTACAATGTCTTAATATTTGTTTCTTATAGGGAACCAGTGATGCAGAGAGGGCAGTAGCTGCTGCATTGAAAGTGTGAGAATTTTATTTTTAGTGAATGAGTTGCCTGTATATTCTTAAAGACCCAGTGTTTATTAAATTTCTTGAGGAAATACAAAATTGACCATATGGTGTCATATTATTCACAGTTTATTTCGGAAGTTCATGTGTTAAACTCTTATTGTAAGGTACAACTTTCTTTTTTGGCCTCCAACAATATTCAATAGTTTCATAGGGGAGTTAGTTCATTATCATTTGACAGAATATACTTCTGCAACATGTCTAGACTGTTTTTGATGTTATTCTGCAAATTTACTGTCTGAAGGAAAGAAAATTTAGTCTGGGAAATATGAGATTGCCAAGAAATGTTTTTTAACTGGGGTGGCTGAACTTTATTATAAAGTCACACACAAGGCAAGGAAATAAGAGGTTTGAAAAGTCTTAGACATAAAGAAATACTTATACTAAAAGAGTTCTATGAAAATTAAGGGATGAAATTGCTACTTCCATTTAGAGGACTGAGTAAACTAAAAGTTCATTAAAATTCATGATTTTGGCAATTATTTACCAAAAATACCTTTCATAGAATAATGCAGCAAGGACTATTTTCTTTCTACATGTTCAAGGGGTTTAAAATTATTCTCCCAGGACCACTATCTGTGTTGATCGCCAAAAATTATACTTTTCAGCATCATACTGGCATCAGGGTCAATGAAAAAAGTAAAATAACAAAAATAACGAACTCCAAGGAAAATTCAAAACGGAAAGTCCTTTATAAAATGGCAAAATCAAAAGCTCAAACATAATGGTTTACTTTTATAAATTTTGACTTGGATGGAGAGTTGTCTCATTGGCACTCATACCACATCTTCTTATATCTATATCAAAGTATGGAAAACAACTGTCATATTCCTGCCTTGGTGCAGGCATTTCAAAGATTAACTGGGGTTCCTACTTTAGAGGCTGGTTCAGGACAGTGTTAATGGTTATGATAAGACCTCTGTTCCAATTGTTCATTCATCCATTCAGATTCAAATTTTAAGCACTAACTTTAAGAAATGAATTACAAAATAAAAAGTACTTGTAGCAGTTACTGTTTCTTATAATAAGTCTATAGTCTTTAGTTTGCCAAAACAAATTGAACAGTAATTTTTAGTTTCTTATTAATTTATTTTTTATATATAACAGACAGGAAGATGTTGCTGGCATTGATGTTAATATGGGATGTCCTAAAGAATTCTCTATTAAGGTATTGATATACTAAGTGTACTAGTAATTGTGTGTCTGAACTGTAACATTTTCAGCCAGCCTACACTGGTGGACTGCACTGAGGGCAGCAGTCACATCCCCATTTAGGAATGAGGAATTTTCCACCTTTATACTTGGCAGTGGCAATAAATATATGAGGAAAATATTTCTTATGATTAACATGCCAACTTATCCGAATTTTGGGGTATAGGTTATCAAGAAACCTAATCATAATATGTAATGTTGATGACTAAAAGCTATTTTTCATAAAAAAAATAATTTTAATAAAAGAACAGCTTTCCAATGTTCCGCACATATTTTATCTGTCCTGGGGCAATATTCTTAAAAAAAATATTTTGGGGTTTCTTTTAAACTTTTTTTGATAATATCCTACAAGAAATGTAGGCATGATATTGACTGAAGCCAATATTCACTTCCTTTTTTTTTTCTGTCTATAATAAAATTTAATAATTAGTATTTATAAATTGTAATTAATTTGATACAGATCATATTGGAGAAATATTTAGAACTCTACTAGTCTCTAGCTTATTCCAGTTTCCAATTCAGGTATTTTAATTTTCCACTGTAATTTCAGGGTGGAATGGGTGCAGCATTATTGAAAAAGCCAGAGAAAGTAAAACAGGTACTTATACATGTTATCATTTAGAAGAACTTCCGTGTGCAATTATGAATCTGTTACTTATCTAATGTGTAATTGGAACTTTATACAAGCAAAAAAACTTCATACCATGGGATTCCCTCACAGGATTTTGAATTTTGAATGAAAGAATTAAACAGAAACAAATAAAGATCACCGTCAATACAAATTGTAAATACATGTTGACAATAGCAGAAAAAGATAAACATTTGGTAGTTGAACTATTAATCACTCAACTCCCCAAGCAGTACACCAGTTAATACAGTAATAGAAAGACCATAGAAATCAAACATGGAAAATAAAATTTAATTCAAGGGCTGTTCCAAAATTTATTGGTTGGGGGGGGGGGGGGTTGAAGGCACTTATTTATTAAATGTGGATGGTTGCATTTTCCTTGCAATTTAAAGAATTATAAGTAAAATGAAAATTTTTATTTTATTGGTGGTCAAGGTCTTAAAAAAATGATCTCATGCCCCCCATGTGTTTTTATTCTGGAACAAACCTAAAGATATTCATTTTTAAGACAACTTCTACACTATCACTGCTACATGAAAAGCAATATAATTCAATATCCTTTCAAAAAAAAGTTTGCAGTAGATTAAGTTATAAGTACTTTAACTGTTGAAAATTATATCATGCCATTTCTTACACACTTATCTTCTAAATACATTTCATAAACATTGGTAAAATCTGGTGCAATGCCCATAATAAACATGTTTACAAAATCTGGGAAAGTACTTCAAAATAGCCATTTAGTCAAAGTTTTGAAGTGTTTATTAGTGAATAAATATGTTTGCAAAGTCTTGATACACCAGAATATAAAAAAAAAGCAAAAAAAAAAGCATGTTATGTTTCAAAGTGTTAATTTTGTAATAACTATTTATCACACAAACGTACCGGATGTGAAAAAAACAAAATGTTTATAAATTAGGTTATTTACCTCAATAGATAGATCAAAAGGTTCACTAATTAACCTTTTTACATTGTTATGAATGATATTACAAAAAAAATACCATGAAGTATAGATCAAAAGGTACACTAATTAACCTTTTTACATTGTTATGAATGATATTACAAAAAAAAATACCGGGGGGCCTCGGTGGCCAAGTGGTCTAAGTAGTTACTACTAAAATCACTAGCCAGTCAACACTGAGGTTGTGAGTTCAAACCCCGCTCGTGCGGGTGCACTAGACTCCAATCTTAATTGACTAGGATTGTCAGTTTTCCTATCGAAGGTCGGTGGTTTTCTCCGGGCACTCTGGCTTCCTCCACCAATAAAAACTGGCCGCCACGAAATAGCCCAAAAGCGGTGCTTAAAAGTTGCATTAAAACACCAAAAATCAAATAAAAAAAAATACCATGAAGTATTGGGTGTGAAGTAGCATTTATTTTTGTTAGCTGACCTGGCCCAAAGTCCAAGTGAGCTGTTCTCATCACTTGGTGTCTGTTATCTGTCTTCTTCCTGTGTCGTTGTTGTCCATTAACTTTTACAAAAACCTGCTACTCTGAAACTACTGCAAATTTAACCAAACTTAGCCACAATCATCATTGGGGAATCTAGTTTAAAAATGGGTCTGATGCCTCCCTGCCAACCAACATGGCTGACATGGCTTAAAATAGAACATAGGGATAAAAAGCAAGTTTTGTCTATAATCTTAAAAACCACTATACATAGAGAAAATCTGTCATGAACAGTTATGTTAAGATCTACCTACTGTCCATTTACATCAAAAGTGGCAGACATTTTCTTACAGGAGTTATTGCCCATAAATAACAGAATTTTATCAATTTTTTTATTTTTGAGCGTTGTTTTGTAAAATATAATAGAAAGAGAGAAACTTTTAATAGCAAACACAATCAGCAAGGCCAATATCATCAATTAACTCCTTTAATTTTGACCAAAATCTTCTACTCTGAAACTACTGGGCCAAATTTAACCAAATTCAGCCACAATCATCATTGGGGTATCTAGCTTAAAATTAGGCTCATGGCTATGGTTCAGGTTTACTTTTACTGATATTTCAGTATGAACTAACTAACCTCCCTTTTTACACTTTATTACCGAGGACCAAAGCGCTCATTAAGAAATGTTAAAGGGAGATCATTTATCATAGTTCAGTTGACCTAATTTAGTCTGGTTGAACTATATAACCTCCAGATGCAGATGAACAGTATTTTCTATAGGCAGTGTAATTTATTCGGAATTAAAGCGTATCTTTTTCAATAAGCTGAATTTAATAACAATTTTTTAATTTTTTAGATATTATCAAGTCTTGTGAAAGCAGTTTCTATCCCAGTCACATGTAAAATTAGATGTCTTCCTACCGTAAGTATGATGTGTTTTCAAAAAAAGAATATTGAAAAATGAAGAGATATCTGTATTGTATTTTATGCTTGGCGTACATTAAACCAGTTTTAATGTCGCAAATTGAGTTCACCTATAGAACATATCTGTCAACTGACCCCTATTCTGCTGGTTACACCTGTGAATTTCCCCTTTCACACATGATTTTTAAAATACCCGCCGGGTATTCAAATAACCTGGGATTTCAGAAAATGACCCGTTTTCACCCGTATTTCTGACTGGTATTGTTCCGGTATTTAGAAGTCAAATATATGTTCGGTTTTATCTGCGTTTTTCCTTTGAAAAGGTAAACAATTAAAAAGTCAAAACTTAGGATTTGCTTATTTTCGTGCTGATGACCTGATGACAGCTATCAAAACATTACATTTTATTTAAAAGTAACAATTCGAGAATTGTCTCTTTATTGTACCCAAGAAAGTTGATGCCAGTCAAGCTTGACATACAATTCTATGTCCTGATTAAAGATTTGCCGTTTGCAAATGTCAAGTATCCTATAAAAATCATTTTATAACAATTTGAACCTTTTAATACATTTCTGTTGGAGAAAATAATTTTGTTAAATGTAAAAGCTTTAAATCAAATCCATATGCTCTAGATATTGCACTGAAAGGAAACACACTAACATCTTTCTATTTATCTACCTCCTGTGTATAGGAGCACATAAGGTATAATTGATTTTTAATTACATGTATAGCTGGGGTTTATGACAATAAAAAGTAGTGTGAATAAAACAATAAGAGGGCATTGCTTTAGAAAGATATTTAATTAATATTAAATATTTATATAATTAACAAATACTAAAGTGAATATTTGTAGGAAACTCAGTGGTACATGTATATGTTATAGTATATAAAAAACTCTAAATACTAAAATTGAACTGAAAAAAGTTTGTACGCGTTTTGACCTGACATTTTCTTCTTCAATGTAGGTCTTCAATGCAGGTCATGACCTACATTTTCAGTTTCAGAGGTTGACAGGTATGATGGACTCATAGCAGAGCGAGGTAAACAGATATTTGCGACAGTAAAACCAAGTTTTACATAGGCCAAGCTTAAAATGCAATACGGTTATCGCCATTCTAATGCAAAATAATCAAAATGTGTTCCATTTTGTTATTATTTTGGCTAAAAATTGTCATTTATAAAAAAAATCCTCAAAAAAAACTTTGTTCTTGTCTTTTGCACATAAACATTGTGGCTTCATAGGTACACTTCCGGCGTCCAACATAAAAACAAGACATTTTTAACTTTGCTTCAAAATTAAATCAATTTGACAGAAAAGGAGGTGTCTATGTGAAAATTGGGACTACCCCTGTTTTATATCGACAACTAATAAAAATCACTGTTACAAATGAATTGCATTAGAATACCTTATCTCATGTCACAAAATAACATCATTATCTTAAATGTTATATAATCAAGTAAGAATATTGTCAGGTCAGTTTGTTCTAGTGAGATATTGCTCTATAAATGATGATACAAGTTACCTTGAGGAATGTCTTACATGCAGTTTGTTTTAGTGAGATATTGCCCTATAAATGATACAAGTTACCTAGAGGAATGTCTTACCTGCAGTTTGTCAGAAATGAATACCTAGGCAAAGTAGACATTTTACAAAAAAACTGAGCAACCTTGTTACCTAGGACAGCGCTTTTAGTTTTTCCTTTCTTTTAACAATCAGCAATTGTGAGAGATGTTTTTTTTGTTAAGTTTGCTTCCAATAAAAGAATACATTTTAATACTGGCATATTGTAATTTCCTAGGGAATATTTGACTGTTAGTTGTATTCTCATCAGAATCAATTTAACAAGCAGAATAACTTCTTTTCAATTAAATGTAGAAAATATACAACTTGTTACAGAACAATGATATTTTACCATGTGGTATTTGCATTTGTAGAAACATGTATGGTTTGGTCACTCATATATTTTCCATATTTTAATTATACACGAAGCCATTGTGAAACAAAGAGAAATATATACAAGAAGCCATTGTGAAACAAAGAGAAATATATACAAGAAGCCATTGTGAAACAAAGAGAAATAAATCCAGGAAGCTGTCCAATGTAATAGCCATGCAAATACCATGAAATAAAACTGCACCATTGAACACAAGAAATGGGCAGGCACTACACTTAATTATTCATGTAGAAAAGGCACTATATTGTTCAGGGATTTATACATACCTAACATTAAAAAAAAAAATTAATTTGGCCATGATCAACTTTGTTCACTCAGTATTACAGTCGTGGTTAATACAATCTGTGGTGGTGGAATGTAAATAAAAATGTTTAAAAAAGTCAATATCATATTACATTTTGATTAACAGTTAGAAGAGACTATTGAGTTAGCCAGGATAATAGAGAAGACAGGTGTGTCGGCCTTGACAGTTCATGGTAGAACTAAGGAAGAAAGACCTAGACATGCTAATAGGAATGATTTTATCAGAAAGATAGCAGAAAGTTTGTCTATCCCTGTTATTGCCAAGTAAGGTTCAGTGTCCTGTTAAAAAAAAAAGAACAAAAACCAATTTACCAGTGTACATATAATAACAGATAACTTTATTTACTCAATCAAGGAGCCCATTGAAGGGCAGATTGATTATAATGCAAATATTCATCATAATAAACAAACTACCGGTAAACAATAAACTAATAAAGCAATAATGATTCTTATACTTGCTTTCTATAAAACTCAAAAATAACCAAAACCTTTTATTATAAGCCCGTCTTTAAAGTCAGGATCTTTTATGGTATATCATTGTCCGTCTGTCGTCCACACTTTGGACAATAACTAAAAAATTCTTTCACCAATTTCCATGAAACTTTGTTGAATTCTTTATATCTATTGAGGTAAGCTCCCTTGTAATTTTTATAAATTTTAGATTTTATCTTTCTGAGTTATGTGATTTTATTCATAAAAGAATGGGGGATATTCAAGTATTCTAACTACAACTCAAAAATGCTTTGACCAATTTTCATGACACTTTATTGAATTGTTTATATATATTAAAAATAAGTTCCCTCTTGATTTTTTTAAATTTCTGATTTTTAAACGACCATTTTTGCAGTCGTATTTTGGTATGACGTTGGCCTTGTCGTCGTCCGAAGACACATTGGTTTTCGCACAATAACTTTAGTTTAAGCGAACAGATCTCTATGAAATTTTACCATAAGGTTCATTACCACAAAAGGAAGGTTGTGATTGATTTTGGGGGTTATTGTACTAACAGTTAAGGAATAAGGGCCAAAAATAAGCATTTTTGTAACTCTCCAGACAATAACTTGTGTTTAAGTGTATGGATCTGTCTGAAATTATACCACAAGCTTCCATACCACAAAGGGATGGTTAGGATTGGCTTTGGGGGGTTATGGCTCAAACCGTTTAGGAATTAGGGGCAAAAAAGGGGAAAAACAAGGGTTTCCTGGTTAATGGACAATGTAAAAGATTTTTTTTTTTGGGGGGGGGGGGGGGGGGGGTCAATACGCAACAGCATAGTGTATTTCACAAAAGCAAAAAAAAGGGGTGTAAATTTTATTTTTTTTTGTTGGGGGGGGGGTTCAATTCGCAACAGCATAGTGTATTACACAAAAGCAAAAAATTGAATATAAATTTCAGTTATTCGTAGTCAGAAACCTATTATGTGTCGAATATTTAATTACAATCCAAATTCAGACCTGTATCAAGTGTGAATATTGTGTCCATTTTCGCCCCAACTGTTCAGGGTTGGACCTCTGCAGTTGTATCCAGCTGCGCTCAGCGAAGCATTTTATTAATATTTGGGATATTTGGACTTTACTCATTAAAAAAGGGGAGGGTCCAGGTTTCGGACAATTAATCCAAATGGCTTTAAGTAGTTTTCATGAAACTTGGGTGACTTGTTTATATCTATTGAAATAGGGTCCCTACATTGCAGAGTTAAAGCAAGCTAAAAGAGAGACAGGCGTATCATGCGCGTATGGCGCAGCTCTATATTTTAACAAGTTTTATCAAAAGTTACCATTATTGCAGCTTTGTCCCATTCCTTCTTTTATAAGAGTTAGATTTGTTTGAAAATAATGTTGAAATTATCATTATACCCCATGCCACAGAGCCACACACAGAGCCGATCAGTCATTTTAGTTTTTAGATGATAAAACAAATACTTTATATTGGGTCGCAACCTTACTTAGATATATGGTCATATAATAGAAGCTTCCTCCCTATTAATTTTGAGATTTCCAAGATCAGGTTCAAAAGTTACTAGATAGACCGAAATAAATGCACAAAGGATTTTTCTGATAATAACTCCAGAACCTTACATGGGAATGGAAACAGACTGGCATATATGGTCACACATAATGAAAGGCAGATCCCTATTGATTCCGAGATCAATATGTCATGGTCATAGTTACTTAAATAAACCTAAATGAATGCAGAACAGTGATTACCTGCTGATAATTATAGCTTTTTTTCATGGGATTGGAACAAAACATGGATTTATGGTCTCATATAAGGGAAAGGAGAGCCATATTGATTTTTAGCTCAAGGTGTCCAGGGTTAAAATCACAATTATAATACAACAAATGGACTGAAATTTGTGAAAAAATGGAATATTACCATACAGGGACATAAAGATTCTTGTGACACTTTATGGAATATATATAATTATGTACAAGCATTTCCATTTATATTCTTATAAAGATTCTTGTGACACTTTATGGAATATATATAATTATGTACAAGCATTTCCATTTATATTCTTATAGTGGCGGTTCAAAAGAGTTGAAAGATTGTTCTGACATACAGAAGTTTGCAAAGGACACGGGATGCACCTCAGTGATGGTTGCTAGGGCAGCAGAAAGGAATCCTTCTATTTTTAGAAAGGAGGGGATAATACCATTACTAGATATTGTTAGAGAATATGTGAAAATGGTAGGTTCTTTTTACAAAATAATGCTATTGTCAAATATGATGAAATACTAGAAGTTTCCTCTTTTTAGTTAACTTGGCCCACAGGGCTATGTGAGCTTTTCTCATCAATTGGCATCTGTGCCGTCAGCATCTATTAATTTAAGGAAAATTCTCTCCTCTGAAACTACCCGGTTAATTGCAACCAAACTTACCACAATCATCCTTGGGGTATTTAGTTTTAAATATGATATCACCTTCCTACTTTCATGGCTGCCAATGCTAAAAATAGAATATGGGGTAAAATGAAGGTATTGTCCATTACCTATAAAACAATTATTGAAAGGGAAAATCTAACATTGGCAGAAATGTTCAGAATAAGGGCTATTCTATTAAAATGTATGTGGGAGGGTAGGAAGGGACTTTCAAAATATCCCTACAACCAAGAACCATTTTTTAGATAATTTTGCAGAATGGTAATAGACGCATACTGAAAAAAGACCCATGACCCACATTCAATAATTAAACTTCCCTTCATACCCTCCCACAGACATTTTAATGGAATAGCCCTAACAAGATCTATATAGCTACCTACCATTCATTTTGACAAAAGGAGTTATTGCCCTTAATTGATGATTATTACAAATTTTTACCAATGTTGGCTGTTATCTTTAAAACTATGATAAATAAAGTGTGGCTCTAAAAGGACCAGTTCTTCAAATAAGTTGAGAAGTCAAAATTGTCAGTTGACTCTTCATATGAGTTATTGCCCTTGAAACACTAATTTACCCATTTTTGCATTTTCTGTTGAACGATAGTAGATAGAGAGAAACTGTTATTGCGAACCCAATGAAAGTTTTCCACAGTGCCATCTCTATCTTGACCAGGTATTTAAACTTTTGCAAGTGCACCTGTCCTATTGAATAAATACAATAGCTATTGTTCTCTGTGTAGTTTATTCTCTGGGACCTTTAAATTTCTTCTAAGAGAAATCTATCATTCATTGATTAAATTACCTCAGTAAAAAAAAATTCTTATATATAGACAAAAATACTTTTTTTATACTCATTAATTGCGTGTGATGATGTATTTATTCAATATTAATAATATATTTTCATTCAGTTTAGTACAAACATTGATTCAATCATAAAAAGTTAATTTCTAACAAAAGTTTTATCAATGTTCCTATTGAAATTTGATTTTTTTTTTGTTCAGTTATAGAATACATTTAAGAAGATCTTAATTTGAAACATCATTATTTTCAAGTTCTTATTCATGTCAAACAATCTTTTTTTTAAAAGGAACAATGTTGAAAGTTTTGTCAGAAATCAACTTTTTTTGATTGAATCAATGTTTATATTAAACTGAATGAAAATATATTATTAATATTGAATAACTACATCATCACACGCAGTTAATGAGTATAAAAAAAGTATTTTTGTCTACATATAAGATCATTTTTTTACTGAGGTAATTTAATCAATGAATGATAGATTTCTCTTAGAAGAAATTTAAAGGTCCCAGAGAATAAACTACACAGAGAACAATAGCTATTGTATTTATTCAATAGGACAGGTGAACTTGCAAAAGTTTAAATACCTGGTCAAGATAGAGATGGCACTGTGGAAAACTTTCATTGGGTTCGCAATAACATAGGAAATGATCAGCAGGACAGTTTTTTTAACAAAATAGTCAACATAGCTGAAATGATAAATGATAAATTTAACTCCTTATAGGAAGAAGTATTTTTTTACAGATTTCAGATTTCTGTTTTTTTGGTGAAACTATAGTAGATACAGAGAAACTGTGAACAACAAAAATTATAAGCAGGACAAGATCTGCAAATAAGTCAACATGGGCAAAATCATTAGATGATACCTTGTGAAATTTAAGGAAATGAGCTGACACTTTAATTGTCAAAACAATGGAAATTATGAATTTTCAAAACTCCCTCCATTTAAATACATTGTCATGAAACATTTTTACATTAAAATTTATCATAAACTACAATTTATTTAGATAAAACAATAAATTTACTGGCCTAAATAGAAATCAAGGGTCTAAATACTTACACTAAAAGCTAAAGTATTAAAAACGGTAATTCTGTGCAGGTTGTTACAGTAGACAAAATAAAACCGGTCAACTTTGACATCCCAGATTATATCTATTATATTGAGTATTAGAAAGAAATCAACAATATTGGGTCTGTCTTTATAGATTTCAAAAAAGTCCTCATTTTAAACAAAAGGAATGAATAGCCTTGTAACAGACCACCTACAAAACCCTCAAAGACTTTTTTAAAGGGTTATTTGTTCTCTAATGTGCAGTGTGTAGTACTCTCCCTTACATGAGGCATAGATTTAAAGTCCTAATTCATTCATAATAATACATTCCACACAGCAATATGGACACCCAATTTAATTACTAGTTATCAAAATTATCAATTACAGACATCAACTTTTTTTATGCCCCAGCTGTATCGGAGGGGGCATTAAGTTTTTGCCTTTTTGTCTGTATGTCCGTCTGTACGTCCCGGAATTGATTCATTCTCTAACTTCAGTTTGCCTCATCCAAATTTATCAAATAGTTGATTTCTTCATTTAACCATGTTAACTGTAATGTTTGCCTCAGATACATTCCATGTTTTCCTCTTTCTTAATATATGCTGATGACAAAGATTGAGTTCTAATTCTTTTGAATGTTTAAAAAGTTATTCTATCTAATTTTCTGTCTGACTTCTTGTAATGTCTGTACTGCAGTGACAGTCATCAATTTAACCCCAATGATAATGAAAATTGAAACATCTGTCAGCTGCCATTTTATTTTAGTCACAACTTTTTAAAATTGTTAAATGAAAGTTGTTGAAGCATCAGACATGTCAGATATTCTTAGATAATTTTTGGTGGAAAATAAAAAAAAGGGCTTCATTGCCTCATCTGAAATTTTGAAAACTGGCCTTGGAAGTTAATGATTTATTATATATGGGCTTATGAAATATGTTTTGTATTTAAGGCAATAGATTGGGACAACAATGCTATAAACACCAAATATTGTATATTACAAATGATGTATAAAGACATGGACATAAAAGAAGGTGATCAAAGTCTGACTGCAGTTACTATGGAGGAGTTCAGGTAGGTGTCAAATGCTTTCAGTAGTTACAAGTAAGGGAATGATGTACTAGAGCCAAACTTTTGCTGTTGTTAACACTTGGGAAATCATAGTTTACTGTGGAATAAATCAGATAACTGACAAAGGACTACTATGGAAAAAATCATCTAAAAGCCAAAGTCTTGTATTTACTATGGGAATATATAACTGACTAAAGTCTAGCTGTAGTTACTATGGAGAATGCAGTTAAGGGACCAAACTTTGTAGTTACCTTGAAGAAAATTAGGTAAGGGATCAAACTCTGACTGTAGTTACACTACATTGATGGAAGTAGGGGATAAAATGCTTGCTGTAGTTATCATTAGGAAAGAAATAGCTGAGGCTGTAATGAACCAATCTCTTCTTTAATTACTGTGAAGGAATCCAGGTACAGACCAAACTCTGTGGGAAATGACTGTGTTGGCGATCAGTGAGGGGGATACATTGTGCCTGAAATTACTCAAATTAACTAAAAACCAAAGTTATAAGAATAGCTTTTGCCAATATTCTGAATTTCACCATGTAAAATTTTGCAAAGATGATTTGAACATAAAAATAATAGATATTTATATAATGCAAAAAAAGTACATTCCCAATAAAAAAAAATAGGAAGATAACTTTTCATTTTTAAAATAAGTAAATTAACATGTCACATCATTAACATTTTGACTAACTTTTATTCTTCAGTGAAATATGGGGTCTTCAGGAATATTACCAACAACATAAACAATCTATGACAAAGTTATTAGCCATGAAATATGATAAAGAAACTGAGATTCATGTTGTTACTACAGATGATGGACACACAACTATAGAGATGCCCTTTAAATTTTACAAGTAAGTCATTTAGAATATCATACAGTGCGAATTCATTTATTTTCATGGGCACTAATTTTCTAGTCTGATTAAAATCAAACCTCTCACTTGCTATCGCTTATTGAGGGGCGGTAGGAGGGGATGTCATCCCGAATTCCCGAAAAATATAAAACATCCTTTCCCGGATCCCAAAAAAATTAATTATTAATTCCCGAGTCCCGATAGGTGTAAATCCCAAATTCCCATGAAAATAAAATTTTAATGTCCAATCCCGACGTCCTGAAAAAGGTCCTCCGGCCCTTTTTATTTATATGTCAGACATATCAGAAAATAGGAGCGCTGAGAGGTTTGATTTTAATCAGACTGCTAATTTTCTTGCATTCAGGAAAAATGAATTTTCATAGATATTTATAAAAATTCAACTGAGGGAAGAAATGTTAAATTAATTATTGGGTTGACTGACAGCGGCAAGGTTGGGAAACACATAGGGATGACTTCTGTTGTCTTGTGTTCTTCCATGACACACTTATGTTTATCTACAACAACTTTAAAACGACAGAACAGATATCAACCAAACTTGCACAGATTTTTTTTACAGAACATGAAGTTGTGCAGGTGCTATTTTAATTTTTGATCTGTGTTATTTTCGGTGTTTCCCATACAAAAAGCGGACTTGGTCTTTTCTGCTTATCAGTTTGTAATCTTCAATTCCTTAAAAACTGCTTGACAGAATTCAACCAAACTTGCAGAGATTCTTCTACAGGACATGAAGGTGTGCATCTGCTATTTTAATTTCGAGGTTTCCCTTACAAAAATTTTGAATTTACCATTTCTGCTCATATTATTTGCAGACGACACCGTCTTGCTTGGAAGACTTCAACAATTTGTTTCTTATTTCGTCAAGATTGTTTCCATAGGAAAGTGTTCAATTAAACTATGTTTTATGGTGCCAAATGTCCCATTTGTATGTTGCCTTTTAAGATACCATAAATTGAATCTTACAAGGCAGAACAAACATTTACCACCTCCTAAATATCAATACATTGCTTACAGATGACAGTTGCCACGTCTATTTACACAAAAACTCTAGTGCCATTGACACAAATTAACTTAAGGATGTACTTAGGTCAGGTTTAGGAATTTTTGTCAGATGTTGGAACTCCTTGGTTTTTTTCCTACGATACAGGGTAAAATATTTTGCCCCATAACACCCATTTTTCTTTTCATATAAGACTTCAATAGCTCTTTAACGGTCATTTACCAAAATTTAAGCATATTCTAGATTTCTTTTCTTTCGATTTGAAACCCAAATAATACCAATGCAAATATAAGGTAAAAGTCGGAGTCAGCCTTTCCCACCATTTAAAAAAAATTAAATTTCTCAAAAGGAGCTCCATAACCTATCAATATTTTTAGCTTATTTTTGTTCCTTAATAATGCTCTTCTGACCAATAGTATCAATTTTAAATTCTATTTTTTTTTAATTTCACCTAAGTACATCCTTAACTTTGCATTCTGTCCAATCTTTTCCTCTTATAAATTTCACAGAAGAACATTTTTTATTGTTTTTTCTTATTAATTATTATTTAGAAATTATAAAGAGTATTATTATATTTCATTACAGAAAAGAATTTCCTCCAAAGATTACCCCAAAACAAAGATTATATGAAGCAACAAAGAGAGCAGGGATTAACAAACTAGAATATGATGTGGTATTTTGAAAACTTCTGTTAAACAGTCATTATTACAACCTAAACATTGGTTAACAAAACATAATCACTATATTATATGATCTTAGACTTTTGATGCAATATTGTTTACTTTAAACATTTATGCTGATGTTAAGAAAATCCTAATAAAAATACTGACATTAAATTGCATTAGCTATACAACAAAATGACATTTAAATTTCAAACCTGAGGGGAAATTTTTTGTGTCAGTTTTTCAAAAGTCAAAATATCACTCATAATTTTGTGTGAAGCATAATAGTATTAGGGTTTATAGAATAATGTTAGCTTTTGATATGACAACCAACTATGAATGTCAGCTTATATTCTCTGATAGACAGGCATATAAGAATTCAATAAACACAACATATATTCTTATAGACAGGTATATAAGAACCCTATAAAAGACAGACTATATTCTTATAGACAGGTATAAAAGAACTGCATTCAGACAGCTTATGCCTCTGACAGCAGTTTAAAGTCAGTTTTCATTTATTCAAGAAATAAATCCTTATTGGCATCCAGCTTTCTTATCTTTAAATATCTAATAAGATGTGCATTTAAACCTTGATTTTACAAATTCTACAATTGTAAGCCTGACTTTTTATTTATATTATACAGACAGAAAGGAAAGAAGACAGATGTTATAACTGTATTCTGAATGTTGGTGGAACTGTTTATACAACTCCATTTTGGTAAGACAAATTTCTTAATATACAAAGTACTGTTGATTCATTTATTTACGTGGGTACCGATTTTCATGGATTGTGGAAAACTTGTATTTTCGTGAATATTTGATTTTGTGGTTTTGCCATGGTCTGCGTTCAAGCCTATAGAAAATTTGTTATTCGATGGAACATTTAAATATGTGATTCACCTGTACCCATGAAAATTTGTATCCCACAAATAATGAATCCACAGTTAAGATAATGGATAAAAATTAAAACTTAAAAAAGGTAAAAATCAATGAGACTCGGAACACAATGCTAAAACCAACATCTGTTTGAATATGCAATGTCCACCTTAAACTTCTAATATAAAACTAAGTAGATGTGGAATATGATTGCCAATGAGACAACTCTCCAGCAGAGACCAAATGAGGTAGAAGTTAGCACCTGTAGGTTACCGTACGGCCTTCAACAATGAGCAAAACCCATACTGCATAGCAAGCTATAAAAGGTCCCCAACTGTCAACTGTAAAACAATTCTAATTAAATAATGGATTTATGTACAAAACAATAAATGAAAAACAAAGCTGATATACTGCAACAAACGACAACCACTGAATTAAAGGCTCCTGACTTAATACAGGCACATACAGAATGTTCTATGCCTAATAATTGAATTCATTCCTGTGACAACAAAATTTCATCGGCTCACCTAGTCCTTTGGGCTGTTTGAGCCATTGCCATCACTTGGTGGTATCAATCATTGTTGACTTCCTTAACTTTAAATAATTGGAGAATGTGTCCAGATGATGCTCCCACTTGCATATACATTATAAAGGGACATAACTAGAGAACTGTAAAAGTGACACCACCCAACATCTAACTCGATCTGTGGTAATGAGCATTATGTATAAGTCTCATACTATTTTGAAATAATGGAAAAGAAAAATTCAGTAATTTTTTATTTGATTTATGTATATCTCAATAGCTTTTTGCCAAGGAAATAAAACTTTCATGAAAATCAGTTGGTGTTAATTATGGTATTTAAATTCTTGGAAAGTAACTGTTCCATAATCATCGTATTTACACTTTTGGTTTTTAGCTGAATTTAGAATCCGAATGACCTTAAATCTGTCTTGGAATAACCTTCTGACATTAAGCAACAATCACTTTTCAATTATGACGTCAAAAATTTGAATAAATACAATAGCTATAGACACATTAGTTTTCGCACTCTAACTTGAGTTTAAGTGAATGGATCTCAATGAAATTTTACCATAAGGTTCAATACCACAAAAGGAAGGTGGGGATTGATTTTGGGGGTTATGGTACCAACAGTTAAGGAAAAAGGGGCCAAAAATAAGTATTTTTGTAACTTCCAGACATAACTTGTGTGTAAGTGTATGGATCTCTCTGACATTGTACCACAAGGTTCCATATCACAATGGGGAATGCTGGGATTGATTTTGGGGGTAATTGCCTCCAAATTTTAGGAATTAGGGGCCAAAAAGGGGCAAAAAACAAGCATTTTTCTAGTTTCATGACAATAGCTTGTGTGTAAGTGTATGGATCTCTCTGACATTGTATCACAAGGTTCCATATCACAAAGGGAATGCTGGGATTGATTTTGGGGGTAATTGCCTCCAAATTTTAGGGATTAGGGGCCAAAAAGGGGCAAAAAACAAGCATTTTTCTTGTTTCATGACAATAACTTGTGTGTAAGTGTATGGATCTTTATGAAATTGTACTACAAGGTTCCACATCACAAAGGGAAGGCTGGGATTGAGTAAGGGGGTTCAAAAAAATTTGGGGGGGGGGGGGGGATTTTTTTTTCCTTTTTTTTCTTTAGAATTTTCCATTTTAAATTGGTTATTTCTGATTTATATATAAAAGCAAATAATAATGATATGGTTTGAATAGGTAAATTGAAAATTTTTAAGTTCTTAGACCACTTTCATTCTGTGTCAGAAACCTATGCTGTGTCAAATATTTAATTGCAATCCAAATTCAGTGCTGTATCAAGCTTAAATGTTGTGTTCATACTTGCCCCAACTGTTCAGGGTTCGACCTCTGCGGTCGTATCAAGCTGCGCCCCAGCGGAGCATTTTATTTCAATAATATTCCTGTACAAACAATTTAACTCCTAGTTATGAGAATAAATGTACCAATCGTGAATAATGACACACATTCATCTTTGGAATTACATTATAATCTTTTTTTAAGATCTCTTTAACTTTTCTACTGTGTGGCAAATAAATAAACATATATGTGATGTGTCCAAAGAGCTTTTCTGGGTTGAACTGCATCAGGAACATTTAAAACCAAACATTTGTAAGCCAGGGATATATAAATACTTCAGCTTTTAAATGAAGAATCTTTATGAAGAAGATTAATAAATAGTATCTTTCTAGTAACAAATGTTCCTTCAATTGTGTAGTAAAGAGGAAACAAGAATTGTCGAAGAAGGATGCTATGTGGGAACACGGTACAAAACTCATTTTTATTTCAGGGAAAAGTCCAAGCAGCTAGCGGAACAAGGGGCAGCAATGGTAGCTACTACAGTGTTAGATATTAAAGATGAGAGACAGTTCGTTGAAGGTGGTCAGAATGAGGCTTTACTAGAAAAATGGAAGAAACGGAAAAATGACTGTGATGTGAAAGATATATATCTTAGTTTCAAACATTTACTTGACAAGGCTAATGAAGAAAAGCTTGTGAAGAAAAGACTTAATGATGAAACAAATGACAGTTGTATAGAAGTAAAACATTTTGTATCAGAAAATCAGGATGATGTGGTTACGTAATAATTTATTGTCAGGTTTTGTTTTGCATGTGAAAAAGGGACATGAGACAAGAATGTGTCATTATTTGAGGATTTATGAATACAAGATATTTTTGTGTGCCCAAACTTGTTAAAGCATTGTTACTTTTATTTCGTTGTCAAGGGTGACAAATTAAATTAATATTTTATTTTAAATCATACGTATAACATAATTTGTTTCATCATAAAATAACGAGCACTGTGCATAAAATACTATTTTACGAGGTTGGAAGAGCCAATTACTGTGGATTCATTATTATTCGTTGGATTCTAATTTTTGTGGTTTGCGTGAGTAAAGGTAAACCACAAATTGATGTTCAACGAATTACCAATTTTTCTTTAGGCTTGTATGCAGACTTTGGCAAAATCACAAAAAAAATGAATCCACAGTATTTATGCAATTTTACCAGTAAAAATCTGTGATATGTATTGTGTGAGAAATAAAGATATTTAAAAGTTAAATTCAATATGTTCAAACCTGTTTTGAATCATTGGTCTAGTGCAGTTGAAAGAGGAATACTCCTATGATATTTGCTTTTATCATAATAGAAAGCATGACAATTTCTATAAACAAGAACACTTTAAATACAAAATCAGAGAATATTTGGAGATTGTTTGACATCTTTAGTTTGAATCCTCAAATTGTATGAATGACATTCTCACTGCTTTTCCTTCGTTGTTGAAAATTAGAATGTAAGTACCAGTATTAATTTAGTTCCTGGGAAGTTTGGAACATATTGCTATTTAACAGTAAAAGTCACTATGATTTGTAAACATTCTATGTTTTACATTTACAAGAACTGATTTATAACCAACCTGTTAATGTTTTTAGCAGTGAGATATTGATGTTTCCATTTCTCGTAAAAACCATCTGTTATCTATAGGTAATTCAGATTTCTCAAAAAGATATTAAGAACATAAGATAATATATTTACATTTTTCAGGTAACAAAAAGGCAAAACTGTATATGTATATAATCATTCTGCAAATAAAAAATATTAAAAAATTAAAACTGAGAGATTAGGGAAAAATATGAACTTCAGGAGTCGGGACCACATGAATGACAAAGCCTGAGGATTAACCCCATTATCCCATGAAAAGTAAGTCACCCGGAACAAACAGGATCTCAATCTGTAACACACAATTATACACAAATAAACAACAAAAGTGCTCACACTGAAATTTCATGCCAGCTTTTCTGATATTGATTGAAATGTATATTGAGAGTCATTAAGATCAATATCTTCCCACAGGAGTCACTTAATCACTTAGGTTTCTGACACAAAATAAATGTGGTCAAAGATCTTAAAATTTTGAAATGGGACATTTAATTTACCAAGAATTGTCTGATATCCAAAATCTAACAACATGGTTAGATTCAGCATATAAAAAAACCACCAAAAATTTAATTTTAGTTGAAATCACACAAAGTTTAATTTTGGACCCTTCGAACCTGAATATGGACTAATTTGAAAACAGGGCCCAAAATAAAAAATCTAAATACACAATAAGATTCAGCATATCATAGAGCCGCAATAATTCAGTTTTTGATGAAATCAAACAAAGTTTAATATTGGACCTTTTGGACCTCAATGTAGACCAATTTAAAAATTACGCCCAATATCCAAAATAGTAATACAAGGTTAGAATCCCAAAAATTAAAAGACTTAATTTAATGCCATTGAAATTGGTTAAAAGACTTGTATTTATTTTCGATTGAAGATTTCTTGCTATTTCACAATACTGCGCTGTTGCACAATACTTAGTTTATCTGTTATATATAATAATTTACACACCCTGTATCTCCTGCCATATCAGTATTTGTTGCTTTTATATATAAATCAGAAATAATCAATGTAAAAATGGAAAATTTTGGGAAAAAAATCCCCCTAAAAAATTTGTCACTGCCCCCCCCCCCCAAAAAAATTTCAAAAATTTTAAGAAAAAAAGTATGAAAAAATCCCCCCCCCCCCCCCCCCCCCAATTTTTTTTTGAAATTTTGAATGTTATTTTCTTTTCAGGAAAAATGTACAATTTCAGAGAGTTCCATAAACTTTTAACAGCCTTCCCCCTTGTGATATGGAACCTTGTGGATACAATTTCAGAGAGATCCATATACTAACACACAAGTTATTGTCCGGAAACTACAAAAATGCTTGTTTTTGGCCCCTAATTCCTAAATTGTTGGTACCATAACCCCCAAAATCAATCCCAACCTACCTTTTGTGGTAATGAACTTTCTGGTAAAATTTCATAGAGTTTTCGGACAACGACTCCGACATGATAGCCATATACGAACGCAAATTTTTTGCGGTCGTATAAAAATTAATGCAAGAGTGCACATGCTGAAATGTCTCGCCTGCTTTTCTTATCATGATTGAACTTGTGTTGAAGGCTGCAATATGAAGGATTAAAATTATGTTCAAGGTCTGTAATATGAAGGTTTTACTACATGTTGCACATAAACTTAACATTATAAATGATCCATGTGAATAAGGACAAGGTCCCGGAACCCTGGCAGACAGACATGTACATCTTATAATTATATCATTCACCAAATATAAATGACCTTTCCATTATAGTATCTGAGAAACGGATATAACCATGAAAACTTAACATTGACCAATGATCCATGAAAATGAGGTAAAGGTCGGATAAGCCCTACCAGACAGACATGTACACCTAACAATCAATACATTCACCAAATAAAGTAGCCCTTGTTGCTTAAAGTATCTTAGAAATAAACCAAACCATAAGTACAGTAAACCATGAAAAAGGTCAAGATCAGATGAAACTGTACACCTAACAATCATTACATACACCAAATATAGTGGACCTATTGTTCATAGCCCATGAAAAATTAACCTTGATCACTTATCCATGAAATAAGGTAAAGGTCAGGTAAACCCTATCTGATAGACATGTCAACCTTGCAAGCATCCCATATAACAAATATTGTTATCCTATTACTCATAATAAGTGAGTATTTCATATGACAAAATAAACTGCTTTGCCAAGCGCAGCTGGATACGACCGCAGAGGTCCAACCCTGAACAGTTGGGGCAAAAATGGACACAATATTCAAGCTTGATACAGGTCTGAATTGGATTGTAATTAAATATTTGGCACATTATAGGTTTCTGACACAGAATAAATGTAGTCAAAGAACTTGAAATTGGTTATATGATTTGAATTTATATCAATACTTAGTAAATCTGTTTTCAGACTAAATACAAAGAATTAGCAAAATAAATTGTGACCCCCAATTTTTCTTTGGAAAATTGACAATTTCTTAAATCTTGAGGGGAAAAAAATTGACCCCCCCCAAAAAAAATTTTTTTTATACCCCCCTCCCCTGCAAAAAAATAATATTTGAAGAGAATTTTCTTTTGAGGAAAAAAATGCTTGTTTTGGCCACTAATTCCTAAACGGTTGGGACCATCACCCCCAAAAACAATCCCAACCTTCCTTTTGTGGTATTGAACCTTTTTATTAAATTTCATAGAGATCCATCCCCTTCAACTAAAGTTATTGTTCGGAAACCAAATGTCTTTGTACGGCACTGACGCTGCTGTCGAAAACGATGTGATACCAATATACTTTTGCGGTAGTATAAAAATGCTTGTTTTAGACCCTTTTTGGCCCCAAATTCCGAAACGGTTTGGGCAACTACCCCCAATATGAATCCCAACCTTCTACTTGTGGTATTGAACCTTGTGGTACAATTTCAGTGCAATCACAATACTTATACACAAGTTATTGTCCTGAAACTAAAAAAATGATTGTTTTGGGCCCTTATTCCTTAATGCTTGGGACCATCACCCCCAAAGACAATCCCAACCATCCTTTTGTGGTTTTGAACCTTTTGGTTAAATTTCATAGTGATCCATACACATAAACTAAAGTTATTGTCCGGAAACCAAATGTCTTTGGACGCCAAAGAAGACGACGTGATAGCATTATACGACCCAAAAATTTTTTTGCTGTCATATAAAAAACTACACATTTTTTACAAGCCCATGAAAATAATGTCAAGGACAATGGAAATATGACAGACAGAAACTTTGTAACATGAGGTATCTACATACAACGTATGAAGCATCCAAGTCACTTTCTGAATGATAAAGCTTTATAAAAATAGTTTATGATTTAGGCGCTGGATGTAATCAATGTGTCTCGCATTCTGCGACTTCCATCACAGGCAAGTCATTGACTCCCTTATTGAAGTGTCCGAAAGGAATAATCTGAATGGACTTTAGGTAGAACTTGACATCCTGAACAGCCCTGCCTCTAGCAGATTTTCTCTATTAATGGTTTTCAAAATAGCCAATATATGCATTTTACCCCTTGGAGGCCATAATGGTGGGCAAGGGTGATCATCCAACACACTTTTTAAACTCTATTCCCCAAGGATAATTGTGAAGTGCAATTGGCTCAGTAGTTTCAGAGATGATTTGTGTAAAATGTTTGAAGAAGTACACCAAGGATGAGAAAAGCTTTCTTGGCTCTGTGAGCTACATGTACAAACTAAAAATCAATAAAATATTACCATTAAGGGGAAATAACTCCCTATTGGGTTGTCAGTCTTTCTGTAACGGTAAATATTTCCTGTTGTGCTGATCATTTTTGTAGTTCACGCTTTTAAACCACATCCAATAGTTTTGGAGACATCAAAGAACTGCCAAAAAAAATAAATGGGGAATGTGTCCATGGGACACAGATGATGCCCCCGCTTGCATATAAAGTTATAAAGGGACATAACTTAAGAACAGTAAAAGTGACACTACCACATTTGTATTTGATCTGAGTTTTGTTGTAATAAGCATTGTGTATAAGTTTCATAACATTTGCTTGAGGCAAACTAAAGGTAGAGAATGCAAACGAAAAATTCAACTATTTTTCCATTTGTAAAGGGGCATCACTCTAGAATGGTAAAAGTGACGCTATCCAAAGTGAAACTTGATCTGTGTTTTGTGGTAATAAGCATTGTGCATAAGCTTCATAACATTTGGTTGAGGCAAACTAAAGTTAGAGAATGGAAACCAATTGTGGGACGGATATGGACAAGGGTAAAACTTAATGCCCCCTCCGCTACAGCAGGGGCATAAAAATCAACATCTCAAAAACGAGTCTACAGCAGGTTTTCTTAACTTTTTCAGGTAGATAGAGTTTGTGTAGACAATTTTTACTCTTGGTTTTATTGACCTGCATCAGTAACACTACATGTCCCTATGACCCAACTACTTCTCTACCTGTTAATAACTACTGTAAATTCAGAAATTATTGCATGCATTTATCATTGCGATATTGTCATTTTAGACTAAAATGCGATTTTAATATTTGTGATATTGACAAAAGCCCTGTTTCATTCATATAAAAAATTTCAAAATGCAAGTTTAAATTATTGCGATTATAACCCTGTCGCATTTTTCGCAATAATAAAAACATTGCAATAATTACTGAATTTACAGTAAATTAAATCAAATCCTGACAATATGCACATGTACATCATTACTATATGTGTAGATACACTCTGAAAATAATAACTTAGTTTGAGCAGTTGAGGGGACAAACATGTATCCCTTTATCAGAAAGATGTAAATTGTTAATCTTAATAATATTAATGTTTTTTCTTCAACAAGGAATGATAGAATATGAACAAAGACTCCGCTACATGTAGTTTGGTTATTTTCTAGTATGTTAGTGTTCTCTCTTGGAAATTTCATATGGCATTCATGCATGGAATGAATTTTCTGCATCTTATTTTTTTTCTTTTTAGGAATGTATATATCATCTACATGCATGACATGTAGGGAAATAGATATTTGAATTCAATGTAATCATACCAAATACATTTTGTACATGTATCATTTATCTCTGACCTTAAAAAATATTTTTTTTATGAATCTCATTGCTCTCATTTTCAATTTCATTCCACAACTTGTATTAACAATTTCTGTATGTACATGAAGCCCTGAAGTTGTCAATCTTTTTAGTTTGTATTCATCATCACAGTTCTATAAATGTTAATAAAGCTTAACCAGTTTTCCAACATTTATTAAAACTTCAGATTCATACATTTAATAATTTACATTACAAAATAACAACTATATGGAGGTACATAGAGACCTAATTTATCAGTTCAATGTCATTCGTTTATATCCTCATTCATACCACTATCTCAGACTCACATTTCTCCAAGCTAAAGAAAAAAATTCTAGATTATCAGTAGATTCAGTAATCTACATGTATCTATTATGATAATTGAGCCCTATATAAAAGCCACACAAATAATATTCTGTTCATGAATGTTAACTTCAAAGTGTAATATGCCATGTGAACATTTTTAACTTCACTATAATACATGTACATGTATGAACAATATTAATTTATTCTTGTATGGAAAATTAAATGGTGTTTGCTTCTCCTCTTCATCCAATGTATATAAAGAATAGTTTTTAGTGAATAAATGTCTAACACATTATCACAAAATATAGAAAAAAATGTAAGTGTGCCAACTTGTGTGTGTTTTACATTCAATAAAAATTTCATTATGTATTGTGCATGGATTTTGGTTGGTAGTAGAAAAATATATACGTGTGATCTGAAAATTATAGATTTTACTTCAACCAAGTGATCTTTTCCTCATTATATTTCACCAATATCCTTCATCAATTTTGATAAAAAAAAATCTTTATACTTTATCTGAACTGTTTAGCAATACAAGTAATTTTGCTTTTAATGCTCCACTTGACAATTTGCCAAATGTGTACAATGTTGTCTTTCAGGAAATGCTTTACATGTAATTTATGGTGTTCTACTTGTACATGTACAAAAAAATGTACTTTCAAATAATTTATTCTATTTTTTTGTAATGTCAAGTCCAGAACAACTTATTTCCTTCCCTTTAGGGCAAATAGAATTCATTAAAACTTTTTCTGTTTCTTAAAATTTCTCCTTCTGGAACTTCCACACGACTGGTAGATCTTAAAAAAATTGATCAGTACTGATTTGGAACATCACTTTTCCTTTGTGATAAGAAAATCTTTTGCTTCCTAGCATAAATATGGAAAAAATACAAAATTTCTAATTTATATAAATACTTGTATAATTAGATACCCTCCCAAAGGAAAAACTTGACCTAGATAAATAATGGGAGGCAACTGTTGGAATTATAAAAATAAGGAATATAACAGAACACACACATGTATTATAATACATGTACAGTACAATGTGTAAGCAAATGTACAGGTATTTTTGTCAAAGTAAACATGGTAAATATATGTAAATTAAAATATACCAAAATTCTTTAAAAAGAAAAAAAACACTACAAAGAAAAAATAACAAATGGGCTCCCAAGATGTCAACTGCAACTGCAAAAATGCATAATGCTGATTGTTCACAATGCAACTGTACAAAAAACCATGATGCAGATGTACCTTATATTCATGAACATAGATCATTGTTCAAATGTACAAAAATGATGATGCTGATATAAATAGCATTACTTTACTGCACAAGTACATACACATGAAGTTGGTGTACAATGACCATTGTTAAAAAGCTATGTTATTTAGGTCTATTAAAAGAATAGGGATAAATTTTAAAAAAGCATTTTGTTATGTTTATCATTGCGAGGAATTTCAATTTTCACACACATTCATATGAGCCAAAACATTATACATGAATATGTACACTAAATGTTTTATAATGTACATGTATATAGGATACAACAAAAAATTATAATCAGATATGAAGTACATTTGTTATTATATTTATATCGTAAAATTTTATAACTATGATTTCCTGTTTAAAAGTGTACAGTATTAAATTGAGACATAAAAAAAATTGCATGTACATTATTATATTACCTTATTTCAAAATGATTTTAACAGAAAACGTCAACAATTACACATGTTACGTATACATATACATGTGTGGTGAGTACTTAATAGATATAATTAAGACCCTCCAATTAAAAAAATAAGTGTGCATGTACATGTTCATAGTATACATGTATCAGATGTATCCATCTTAAGACTATTTAAATAGTTAACTTAAAAAGCTGTGTATAAACATGTTGAGTTCAAAAGACATTTATAACACAAGGTAGCACTACAGTTATTTTAAATTTATCAATATTTAGACTCATTAAAAACATATTTTGTTTTCAAATTATCTTGAACTGTCATTTGACCTGCATGTACATGTACTTGCACAAATGTATGTTATACAATCTCACATATTTAAAAGTTTTGTCTTAACATTCTGTAAATTTTTAACATACATACATGTATCGAATTATAGTTATCTCGTACCATTGTAAACTCGTACCACTTAACAAAAACTCGTACCAATGCAAACTCGTACCACTGCTAACTCGTACCACGGTAAATTCATACCATTGTAAACTCGTACCAACTTATTTAAATGCATTAAAATGGTGTTTAATGATGAATATATACTTTAATTTCACTCAATACCTCTTAAGTCTGTAAAATGTATGTAATTTGAAATTACAATAACCAATTTGTAGCTAATTTTCCTTGTCTAATTGGATAGAGAAAACCGTGGCAGATTGGCTTTGTTGTATCCCTTGAATAGACTCTTTTTTAAACTTTTACTGACAACTATTTGATTTAATTTTTAATCATTCCAAATCAGTAACATTGAATAGATTTGGGTATTTTTCTATTGTTTCTAAAAGGAATTTTATTTAATGAAAGAATTTATTGATTGTGTTTTAAAGGTTTAAAATTGTTTATGACCAACAGTTAGAAAGTATGAAATTTATTTTAATACAATATTCAGCACATTTCAGCAGAATATGACCATGCTTATATGATTATACAAGTTGATTAGTTAAAGATAAAAAAAAACAAGTTGATTAGTTAATAATCAACCAATAATCACACAATCAAAGGAATTTAATATATTTATTAGCATGGTAATTAAGAAATTACATTCATATTTTTGTCTAAGTTTTCATTAAAATCTGGTATAAATTTCAAAGATATTTTAATTTTTTGTATAAAGCTTAAAAAAAAATAATCATAAAACATTCGTATTTTTGTCTAAGTTTTCATTAAAATCTAGTATAAAATTCAAGTAATTCAACTTTTTTTATTTAGTTTACCAAAAAAAAAAATCATAAAACATTCGTATTTTTGAATATATTTTTAATGGTACGAGTTTGCAGTGGTACGAGTTCTGATTGGTACGACTTCCCAGTGGTACGAGTTTACGTTGGTATGAGTTAACTTTTTTGGTACGAGTTTACGTGGTACGAGTTTACAATGGTACGAGTTAACTTGCTTCCCATGTATCTGGCATGTTTAGTCCATTAAAATCAATGTTGAGAAAATCCCAATTTATCCATTAATTATCAGAGGAAAATACGGAACTACAAACATATGTAAACCATAAGGGAACATTGTAATGGTTATTGCAGTATGATGTAAATAAACAACACTTTCTAAATGAAAACATAATCAATCTCAAGTTTTGTACATCCACCCTCCAAAATTCAAAGAATTAAAAAAACAGTACTTCATAAATAAAAACACAAGTAAAATTGTTTTGTGAGATTTCATTAAGACCAGAAATATTTCAACAAAATAAATTCATTAATTACACCATTAAATTATTTCCTTCGCACTTTCATGTCAAAAAAGTATACATTATTAGATAGGATTACTATTTACACTACACATACAGTAACATTTGTTGTAAATACATCTTTCATCAAAATATTAAAATAATTAGATACACACATGTAATGAAAAGATTAATCATCCCTACACTGATGCATTTTACAGTGTAATTAATTAAATTTGACTGCTGTTTAGCACTAACTGCTGAAATGCACCATGCCATAAATCATTCATTTAATCTTTTCTTCCAAATTTTATCACAGTGAAATTGACAATTTGAGCCATATCTTGCAACAACTCAAGATGGAACTAAATTTCCAGTTTTATAGATTTAATAACAATACAGATAATTCTCAAATTCCTACACGTAAAAGTCAAATGAACTGATCTAACACTTTCCAACACTTCCTTCAAATTTAGTTTCATATACATTTTCATTTTCTGACAATAATGCAATATCAGACTTTGGCAAATTTAGCGACCAGCGGTAGCAGCAGCTGTAGCTGTGGACTGAGCTACTTGTGCTGCCTTTTGTTTCAACATTGTCCAGTCAAAAGTGTAATCGTACTGATAGTTCAGGGTACGGAATAGAATGCGGAAAAGTTGTCGTAAGTACATATAATCTGGAGCCTCTTCAAATCTCAATCCTCTACAGTAGTTTAGGTACATAGCAAATTCAGCTGGAAAACCTTTGCAAAGAACTTCTACTGGCGTTGACATCTTTTTCTCACTAATTTTCTCATATTTTTGCTTTTTGGTATTAGCTTTCAAACCTTGCCACGGTAGACTGCCTCTGTTGAAATACATCAAAACATAGCCAAGCGACTCCATATCATCACGACGACTCTGCTCTATGCCAAGATGTGCATTGATGCTGGCATACCTGGCAGTTCCAGTTAGATTCTTATCTTCCCTATATGCAATGTGGGTTCTTGTGCGACTATCTCGGTACTTTTTGGCTAGCCCAAAGTCGATCAAGAAAACTTTGTTGCAGTGACGACCGATTCCCATCAAGAAATTATCAGGTTTAATGTCTCTGTGAATGAAATTTTTATTGTGGACATACTCTATACGTCCTATCATTTGATCTGCAAGCATTAAAACGGTTTTCATAGTGAATCTGCGTGAACAGAAGTTGAACAGATCTTCTAAACTTGGCCCTAACAAGTCCATAACAAGGATATTGTATTCTTTCTCTTGACCATACCAGCGTATATGAGGAATACCCACTCCACCTTGAAGAATTTTATAAAGTTTACTTTCATAAAGAAGTTGTGGGTGTCTAGCTTTAACAGATTCCAATTTAACTGCTACTTCTTCTCCATTTGTTATGTTGATTCCGAGATAAATATCACCAAACGACCCACTGCCTATTTTTCTCACCAGACGGTATTTTGACCCCACGAGGAACTCACTTTTTTGGGTTGAGCGATCACCGGCACTCTCCATTGTCTATATATCTTAGAAAGAGCGACTTAAATAGGTGAAAATGTTTATATTTTTTGTTTCTTTGTCAGGTTTACTTTTAGATTTTGGTTGCCATCTTGGGTGGTTGCATCGCAATGAGGATTACCCAGGGATCCATTTAGTTTACACTGCGCATGATTGAAAGGAAACAGTTGGAAATTTTGCAGTAAAGTTGTTATTAAAGACGTTTTGAGATAACCTATCAATTTATATAACTTAGCTTCTTCTTCTTTGTATAAGCTTCCTATGAACAGGAAAACCTCTAATGGTATTAGAATATAAGGATAGTTATGTAGGAAAAATGAATTTGTTTATTTTTTGTTGTATTATTTTTCAACAAACTATAATCAGCAACAAGTAGTGCTACGTAGACTTTTTTCCATGAATGTCACGTTAAAAGTTATATGTACAGTCTTAATTGGCTATTATTTTGTTTCCTTTACAAAATTATATCATTTTCATGTGTGGTTTCATGTATGCTTAAATCAATAGCTGGGGGGAAGAGACAATCAAAAGTTAATGGTTAACACAGGGAGATATTGTTTCTTTATGTAACCGTTGACTGATGTTTGTATACATGTGATATTGGCTTAAAAAGCGGCCAAGGTTCCAAAAAAAATGATTTGGTCTTGAATTCTAAAAATAGTATTCAATGATACTCAGCAAACTTTGAATTACTAATTGCTAAATTATTCTACCCAATTACAGTTTGAATTCACCTCAACAAATCAACTGGCCTAGTAAAGTAATTCAGCTTTAGTGAAAGTTTGCTTTACACTGGCATACTTGATTGAAGACATTGAAATACCGAATTCGACAATCGATTGATACAAGAACTGTTCACTTTAAAAAATTGATCGGAACAACAGAATCGATTGTTAATCGTTGATTGAACATTGACAACTCTATCTAAATTTTTAAATACTTTACTATTGCAACAATTGATTACATTGACGTTGATTGAACTACAAATTTCAATTCAGTCAACTCAATAAAACGTTACAAGACATTTATTTGAACGATTGATACGACTGATCACAATTGATAACCAGCCGTCAACTAATTCAACTGATTTCAATTTCAATCCCTCGATCGTTACGATAGATACGATTGATCACGGTTGATTATCATGCACAGATCAACCGGCTTAAATACAAATGCACACACTAGACCGTTATACATACGATTGATAATGATTTATTACCAAATATAAACTCAATCAACTCAATAAAAATTGCAAACCCCTGATCAACTCAATAGAAAAATTGCAAACACTAGATCGTTACGATACGAGTGTTTACCAAATATCAACTCAGTCAGCTGCAAACAATAGATTGTTATACGATAGATACAATTGATTACGAGTACTAGTATCTATCGTTTAATGAGACATTAATCAACCCTTAAACGATCATAACGATTGAATATAATCGGTACGATATTGACCCTTGAAAACATCATGAGACAGATGATTGAATTGATCAACTCAAATAAAACGCTCGTAACGACTGAATAAAATCGATAAGATTGTGAGTTTAGAACACAAGAATTAAGAGACAGTTGATTGCATTGATTAACTCTTTAATTATCGTAACGATTGATTACGATGGATACGATCGTGACCCTTGAAAACTAGACGAGACAGTTCATGGGCCCGTTCATTGAATTGATCAACCCTAAAACGATCGTATCGATTGATTAGTACGATCGATACGATCGTGACCTTTGAAAACGAGAAAAGACAGCTGATTGAAAAAAGTATTTACAAAAATACCGAACTCCAAGGTAAATTCAAAAAGCCTAAAGTCCATGAAAACTGACAAAATTAAACGATAGACCATATTAACTATAAAGGAACGAATGGGAATCAACTGTAATTTTTTTCGCAGAATAAATCTAGTTTCAGTATAGCCATGTTAGCTGAACCTCCCACTTGTATGACAATTGTTTCAAAATAGTTCTGTTATAATGACAAAATTGGGTGAGCAACTCAAACCGACATGATGAAATATCTTACATACTTTAAAAAATATCGTATATATAAAATATGTAAAATATCTTTTTAGCTTAATTATATATCTTATATATAGTTTATAAGATATCTTATATCTTTTTAAAGATATATTTTAATCAAATACTTTGCGATATAAATTGGATATCTTATTTAGTTTAAAAGATATCTCAATAAGTTTATAAGATATCTGATTTAATAAGATATGAAGGGGTGGCACACTTTTGGATGTGGCATACTGGTAGCCTAGCTGGGATCCTGACTCACTGCTCGACGAAGTATTAGATTGGGTCAGGATGCCAGACTAGCATATAAGGGGTTAAAAAAGTGGGGATGTGAGAAAAAATATTACAAAAAAGCCGGATTTGGGAAATGATTACCTCCTTGTTACCCCCTTAGATATCCTTACATTTAAACTGTTTGTAAAGATATCTTATTTAGATTATAAGATATCTTATTAACTTTACAAGATATCTAATTCTTATTAACTTTAAAGACATATTATCAACTTTATAAGACATCTTTTTATCTTTATAAGATATCTTGAATGTGGAATATATTTAAAAACGGCTTGCCATCTGTATCTAATGCGTTTGCGTACTCAAACCGGTTTGATGTTGTCGCGGAAATATTAGAGTTGCACTTTACTTCAAAGAACACAAACAATGGCCACAAGCTGAACCTTTCAAAAAATATACCCAATTAAGTGGTTAGAATAGACTTTGGAAACGACAACAAAATGAAACGTCAGATAGCCATTCCGCGTCAAATGTCACTCATTACACCAGAGATCTTAAACCCGTTTGTTCATAAAATTCATCTTAGTTTTATGCAAAAAATACAGGTAGGTAGATGTGAAAGACTTATAATGTACACTTCTCGACACCATTAATAGTTCAATAGATATACTCACCATCAGTATACTCTCAGCATAGAAGAACAATATGTATATATATCCCCGGGGGGGGGGGGGGGGGGGGGGGGTTACTTCCTATATTTTTAGTAGAACGAGTGTGCCGCAAAACAGGGTCCCTTTTTCATGCCCTTGATCTTGATCTTGATAGGAATAAGGTGATACATCCATGGATATTAATACACCGCGCGTGCGTCAAGTAATTTACTTAAGTGGGGCCCCCTTACAATTTCACTAAAGGTTTTAGCTGGTTCTTCTGCTGTCTGAATTTTGATGAAGATATCCGGTGGTAGTTGGTTCCAGTCTTTAATGGTATTTGGAATGAAACTGTATTTTAATGTGTCTGTTTTTGTTTGAAGTCTAAGGAAATGTTGGCTGTGCATGTTCTTGGTTGTCCTTGATGGTTTTTTCAGTTGGTCAGAAGGTAAGTTTGCTTGACCGTGTATACTTTTGCAGAAAAGGATCAGTCTGTTTTGTGTACGGCGGTCTTTTAGTGATGGTAATTGCAGTTGCTCTAAAATTGCTGTCATACTTCCTGGTTCGTAGTTGTAGTTTGATGTTATAAACCTAGCTGCTCTTTTCTGTACATTTTCCAGTTGGTCTTGTAGATATAGTTGATGTGGGTCCCAGGCAGTGCTTGCATAGTCTAGGACAGGTCGTATCAGTCCTTTATATGCCTGGAGTTTAATTTCAAGTGGACATGCTGATAGGTTTCTTTTTAGTAAGCCTAATGTCCTATAAGATTTATTGCATATCTCCTCTATGTGCTTTCCCCAGTGTAGATCATTTGTGATGTTTACTCCTAGATATTTAATAGATGTTAAAATTGGAGATCCGTATTTTTGAGAGTGTATTTAAATGATGTAATTTTCTTCTTGCGACTCAATGTCATCATGTTGCATTTAATTGGTTGAAATCTCATACCCCAATTAGTCGCCCAGTTACCAAGGGTATCTATATCTTTCTGTAGTTCTGCACAGTCATCCTCATTTTTAATTTCTCTGTAGCATATATACACAGTCGTCTGCGAACAGCCTTATTTCTGATGTTACATTTTCTGCTATGTCATTGATATGGACCAGAAATAGGATGGGACCAAGAACCGTTCCTTGAGGTACACCTGATAGGACTGTCGATGTTTTGGACTTAGTCCCATTCACTATCACACACTGAGATCTTGTAGATAGAAATGCATTAATCCAATTCAAGATGTTTTTCGGCACGCCATATTTGTGAAGTTTACTTTTTAATAGTTCGTGCGGTACGGTGTCAAATGCTTTTTCAAAATCCAAAATAAATATATCTGTTTGTTTCCTGTTGTCAATGGCAGTTGCCCAGTCATGTATTACGTTAATAAGTTGGGTTTCCCAGCTGTGTCTTCTTCTAAATGCATGTTGTCGGCTATTTAGGATGTTGTGATCTTCAAAGTGCTGCATTAGGTTCGAGCAAATGACATGTTCTAGTAGTTTGCAAGTGATACATGTTAGGGATACTGGTCTGTAATTACTTGGGATGGTTCTGTCGTTCTTCTTGAATAATGGGCATATATTAGCACTTTTCCATTCATCTGGGATGGTTCCTCTGTTGATGGATTGTTGGAAAAAGTGAGCCATTACCTCAGATATGTTAGGTGCCAATTCTTTAAGTACTCTGGGATGTATACCATCAGGGCCCATCGCTTTTGATGCATTTACATTTTTTAGTATCTTCTCCACTCCTTTGGTTGTTACTATGATGTTTCTCATTTTGTCTACATGAGGAGTTTGGTATGGAATAGATTCATATACTGTCTCGGTATAAACGCTTGTAAACTGCGTATTCAATGCCTCTGCTTTCTGTTGGTCTGAATCAGCGGTCTTATTATCATGAGTCTTAAGTGGTGGTATTCCCTGTTTGTCTGCCTTCTGGTTGTTAATATATTTGCCCTGCTGGTTAGAACAGGGTCCCCTTTTCATGTCCTGCTGGTTAGAACAGGGTCGCTTTTTCATGCATTGCTGGTGAGAACAGGGTCTTTTTTAAACAAAGTATTTGTCTAGAACAGGATGGCTTATTTAACTGTTTAAGATACAGTCTAGAACCCCGGTCTAGAACAAGGTATACATTTTCTGAGCATTTCTAGAACAGGGTATACATTTTCTGAGCGTGTCCAGAACAGGGTATGTTTTTCAATATTTCTGTTTAGATAAGGGTATGTTTTTATATGTTTTCTGGTTAGAACAGGGTATGATTTTCAATGTTTTCTGATTATAACAGGGTATGATTTGGCAAGTGCTGTTGCCAGTGTTGGCACAGTTATGCCCGAAAGGATAGTCAGTAACCCCCCTGGGATATATATATAGCTTCCTTTAGGGTGACAAGTTTTCTTGCAGACTGGTACCTTATAACAGAATTATAGATATCTCGTACCATTGCAAACTACCAATCAACTCATACCACTAATAGTATTAGCAAACTCGTACCACGGTAAATTTGTACCATTGCAAACTACCAATCAACTCATACCACTAATACATGTAGCAATAGCAAACTCGTACCACGGTAAATTTGTACCATTGCAAACTACCAATCAACTCATACCACTAATAGTAATAGCAAACTCGTACCACGGTAAATTTGTACCATTGCAAACTCGTACCAACTTATGTAAATCTAATGCACTCAAATGGTGTTAATGTTGAAAATATATTTAAATTTAACTCATTAAATCAAAAGTCTGTAAAAAGTAATACATGTAGTATATAATTTGAAAGTCACGATGACCAGTTTGTAGCTGAGTGTTCCTAGGCTAATTGGATGAAAAAGAAGAAAGAGTAATTTTGTTTTTATATGTTTTTTGTGTTATGTCTAATTGTATCTTGACTAGCAGACATGATAACGTAACATAGAATAGGTTTAATTTTGATGATTTATATGCCCCAATTTCATCAACATTCATGTATATATAATATCAACAAAATATCAAATATTACTACATTTTTTTGTTATTCATGTTATTGTTAGACCAGTCAGGGGTACTACTCATACAAGTGATTTCAGAAATTCATGTTATTGTTAGACCAGTCAGGGGTACTACTCATACAAGTGATTTCAGAATCACATCTTTAGGTGATTTTGGCTTTGAAAAATTGAAAATTTTCACAAAGTAGACACAGACTTTTTAAAATCACTGAAACAAGTAATTTGAGAAGTAAAAATGTAATCACTTCATTAAGTGTTTATAACATTTTCTTGATATTTTCCCCACAAGGCTCAAGCTTAATATTTTTTATTGGTTTAAAGACAAGGATTGCATTTAAAAAACAAATACATACATGCAGAAATTATCTTTTGCTTGATGAGCCTGTCAGTTTTGACGGTTTATCTAAAATATGCATAAACTGGAATAATTTGTAGATCAGGATATAACCTTGAAGTAGATCATTCTAACTCTAAAGAAGACAAATCAGGTTACTTAAAATTGTTGACCTTTGTTTGATTGTAAGAGTAGTTAATGAATATTTGATTACAGAAAAATTCCCAAGGGTACTTTTAAAAGCTTTAGCGCACTAACTTATTGCCCAAGTGCACTGGTGAAATTAATATACAAGAGAAAGGGATAACTGATCTATGTAGGAAAATTAAAGAAAAATTTGTCAAAATATGGAAAGTTAATGAATTAGCATTTGAAGATCAGAGGAAACACCAAAATCACTTAAATCGGTGATAACTGAATTGATCAAATCACTGAAATAGGTGATCATGAAATCACTTATATAAGTAGTACCCCTGACTGTAGACTGTGAATAGAAAGTAATGTAAAGATAACAAACAATTTAATTTTGTCTATGATCCCCTTATCACAGTCACTAAAACAGTCTAAAATTTAAACAAGCAGATAATTGTCTGCAGTTCCAATTGCCATTGCAATACAACAGACCTGATTGCTATTTGGGAATCGGTGACACTTGAGTTATTGATGACTTAACAACGAACACTTTACTTTTGTGGTATCAGACTATTTGTCTTGTGATGTCAAAATTTTACTGAAACTTCTGCGATGTCCATTAATGGCAGACAAATAGCGATAAGGTGTACATGTATGGATTTTGCCATCATGTACAGCAGATTTTGACCTGAGTCTCCTATACACTTTATTGCTATTTGTATAATAAAAATTTACAGATTAATGATTTACATGTACTAGTCATGCTAGTAGTTGATTTCTTTAATTATATTGATTTTCTATTTTCTCTTTTAATGAGTACTTTGTCCACTAAACAACTGTGTTAGTTGTCTGGTGGTAGTGTGCTTGCCTTGATTGTATTTTGGAGGTTATATGTGTTTAATCTACCACAGTCATTGTCAAACCAAATATAAAAAAGAAGATGTGGTATGCTTGCCAATGAGACAACTCTCCACAAGAGAACAAATGACACAGAAATTAACAACTATAGGTCACCGTACGGCCTTCAACAATGAGCAAAGCCCATACCGCACAGTCAGCTATAAAAGGCACTTAAAGACTTAAAAATCAGTGGGAAAGGGCACATGGTGATTTTGATTTCCTCTGTATATTGTTTTACTATGATGCCCCACATTCAATAGTAGAGGTAATATGTTTTTCTGTCTGTGTTTCTGTTCCTTCATCTGTCCATCCTCTTATCAGGTTAAAGTTTTGATTAAAGCTAGTTTGCCATGAAGTTGTGGTCACCTCAACTTTGAATCTAAGTGCAATTGTTTACTAGGATGTGAATTAAAAAAAAGTATTTGTCCTTATTAGGGTTTTGACCCAGATTCTGTGGTTCACTGAACATGGAAATGTAATAGTGCCAGTTTGCATGATGTCCTTTGGACATATATTCTTCTTTTACTTTTGACGGGAATTATGCTTAGCAATTTTATAAGACTGATGTGTTTATTTTACAGATTGTCTTCATGTCTCTGTTTGTTGTACCAATTAGACTTTTAATGATCTTCACTTGTCTCATATTCGCATGGATGTTAGCCAAAGCATCATTAGCATTCCGATCTAAGGAGGAGCAGGATAAACCAATGAAAGGATGGAGAAAGTATGTACAAATAGGAAAATTTCTTAGAAGTCCTCAGAAAGTAAAATTGTTGTACTGATTAATTAGTCTTAAAGACGATTAAAAGTGATGATAAATTTTGTAGAGCAATAAAAAAAATCTCTTGTTGGAAGTCATGCTTTAAAAGGTTGTAGTTTCAAAGAAATAAGGAAAAAATTAACTTAAGACCATTTAAAAAAACGGTACTTACCATTACTAAAGAAAATATAGTATAATTCACATTAACTAAGGGTATACATCACACATGGTTTGTAATAAAAGTTTATCCAATCAATAATGGGAGACTCCTCAATGATTAAATAATTATTACATAATTATATTTGGCATTGACTTTTTATGAACAAATGCCTTTCTTTTTTGCAATTCAGTCTTCTGCTAAACAAGATATATTATCATTTGATTATGAAATATATGACACACATGTGTACACTACATGTGCTTTCCATATGAAGGAAGGAACATGTGTTAAATCATGTGACCAAAGTATTGGAACAAATTTTTCAACAAATGTTATGCAAGTGCAATTCAATGTTTTATATTTTTAGTAAAAAAAATTGTGTATAGCCACCAATGTTATTTAAGTCATCCACACATGATTCAAATATGATTTAAATTTGAGTTTTTCTATAAACACATATGGCCGTGTCACATATGGAGCACTTATTTGAGAAGTATGATATGCCAGTACAAATATAGCTGATACTTAAGACAGAAGCACATATGGGTAATTTTACATTTGTGTAATGCTTAGTACTGACAGTAACATTAATGCTTCATGCATCAATAACATTAACTTCAAAGTTTTGTCATATAAAAGGTTCATTTGATTAGTTAAAATTTTACAAAAATGGAAGGACGTACAAAAAGGTAATTGATTTTAGTACCAGCATGCACACGAATGAATTCAATTGAAATATTTGTGACAATAAGTCATTTTGTTCTGCACATACTTTTTACAACAGTGGTTTAAAAATAAGTTTGAAATAATGATTTTAGTTGTAACTTTTTTCTTGTAATAATCAGTACAGCTTGTTATATCACTGTGTATTGGGAAATCTTAGCATGTGTCTAATTTTCGGAGTAGACATTTTACGGCGAATTTTCCCTATAAGAGCATTTGACCGTTCATTTAAATGCATTATACAAAGCCATGAAACTTGAATAATGACCACTGTGAAGATTTTACTGTCCAATCAAAGGCTCAAACTGCAAACAAAGCCTAATGGAAAAATAGCCTGATAAACAGTTTAGAAAAAGAATAAATGTACAAATTGTTTATAAACTGACTAATTCATAAGTTGTGGTAGGCCACACCAAATTAATGTCTTGTTCTTCGAATCGCTGCTTCAAATTTCCTGATTTCATTTTTTCTTTTTTTCTTTTGCTGGGAATTTTTTTTTCAGAATTCAGATTTCAGATTTTTAAGTTACTGCATATAAATTCTACTCCCAATACTGAGTTGTATCAACAATGTGGATTTTGTTGGTCAAAATGCGAAAGTGCAAAGGCCAAATGCTATACTTTGTCAGAGTAAGGATACAATATTGATGTCTGTTTTGTTGAAAAAAGTTAGGGGAAACTACAACACATTTTTGAATGTTGAGATTCAAAGTTCATTGTCAAACGGGAAATGGGGAAATGGAGTTTTCATAGGATGTCAAGTAATTGCCTGATTCAGTAAACAATATTGTTTTATTTTGAACTGATTTGAAATCTTCCCTTTTTAATCATAGACTCAAAACACAAAAGCTGTGATATCAATAACATATAAATATTGACTACATTCACTGCAACACACAAATAAAAACTCTAAAATTTAAGTGATACTAGTATAAAGATACCTGCGAATTTTGTAATGCTACTTATATTGTAACTTTCACTTCAATGACAGACACATAAAAATTGGTATCGCTTCATACATGTCATAAAAAAATCCCCCCCTATTTTCATCTGAAAAATCGGAAGAACAATTATGTTTTTTGGTGTGGCCTTATTGGATGTTTTAGAGTGATCAATTTGGATTTTTTGCACCTAATAGTTTGATGGAATGTTAATTTTAAATTGTATATTTCAATTGTAATTTAGCATGATGTTCTGAGTTTGTTTGCAGTACTGCTTCTGTTCACTGTAGTGTCATGAATGTACTTTATAAGAAAAAAAAAACAAATGCTCATATGCATATCTTGTATACGTAAATGTTTAAAATTCTTTTCCTGGATAATTTTCTATATGAAGGAAAACATAGGAATTAAACAAACTAGAAATAAATCTGTGAAAAAAATGCTCAAAAATGTTTAAACCTTCCACTCATTTGCCAAATGACAAAGTGCACTAGATTTATTGCTTTGAGATAAGAGTAAGTCAGTTACTTGTGTAAAGCAGATGCTTTACAATGATAAAAAAGAATAACAAAGAAAAGAAAAATAATGTATATTACTAGTTAGATAAAACTAACTCAATATATGCCCAAAGGCTTTTCGTAAATAAGCAGAAAAAAATACACACAAAAATATGAATATTACATGAGTGTACTGGAAGCTCACTGTGAAAACACAGTATTTTCAGGGTTGTTACACAGAAAAACCAAAAAAATAAAATCCCGCCCAACAAAATCCTAGAATTAATAGGGTAGAAACCCTGAATATAATTACATGTATTTCTTTTTTTTTCTTAACATAAATTCTATTAATATGATTACCACCTCGGTGGTCTTGTAGCGTGCTTGCCAGTTGCCTCCAGCGGGGAGATAGTGGGTTCAATATCTAGCTAGGTGAAAAACTTTAAAATTGATGTTTGCTGCTTCTCTGTTATAAAGCACATGGTATTAAGGAGTAACAGCAAGAAGACTGGTCTGTTCAAGTTAGAATAAAGTATCTGGGTAGGGTGACATGTCTTCCTATTGACTGTTACCTTGTGAACTAGCGCACCTAGTCGACTTGTGCAAAGCAGGTTTCATATTCACATCACATTAACATGTTCTTGGTCTGAATATGCATTTTTGAAATTTGCCACTGGACCTAATCAGTAACCCATCCATCATCAGGAATAACAAGATTTACAGGATTCATAGTTAATTTACTTGATTAGATTTTACACATCATAACATGTTCTATCATTATCATAGTCATATTGTATATATAACATATTTAATGTCATCTAATTCTAGCATGCTACGACCAGTAATTGTTTTGTTTTGCCAAGGCGTGTTTTTGATGGGAGGATTTTGGATAACAGTGAAAGGAAAGCTGGCCAGCTGCAAGGAGGGACCAATAATTGCTTTAGCACCTCATTCATCGTATTTTGATAGTCTTGTCATCGTATATCTAAACCTGTCAACTATTGTTGTTAAATCATCCACTGAATTCATTCCTATATTTGGAAGTAAGATAATTGTTTAGTTCCTATATTTTGAAGTAAGATAATCGTTTAGAAACTTTTTTCTTAGGGAAATTAAAAGACTTATTTTCTCATCCTGTTGAACTTGAAATTGACCTGGCATGTTTGGTGCTCTTTTGTAGTAAATTTTCTATGGTTATTCAAAGGTCGAAATAGATACCTATATATATTTAATGTTGTGTAAGAAAAATATATTTATTAACAAATTCTTTAATGAGCAATTTTGTTTTCTGGTTTGCTTAATATCATGGCTTTATTTCATTCAAGCCTTGTTTCTTTTATGATACAAATAGACCATGCTGCTGTTCAGCTTTGCCTCAGTCTGTTGCTTTTACTAAATATGACCAATATTTGGAATTTAATAATCAGTATTCATGCTATTAACAATCAAAATTTATTCATTGCCATGATTAACTAATGTTTTGGAATATAAATTAGAATTGATATTAGTTTGATACTCTGTAGTAAACAATCCTTTATAGATACCTGCATGTAATGATCTTATATAGCTTTTTGTATGTCTCTCCTTGCAGAATGCTGATTGGATAACTTTAAATGTTGTCATAATAATGGGGTATGGTCGTTCATGCTTTCATCATAGCATTTATCATTTATCACGCATGTTTCATTTTTAATATGCTTGCAAAACAGCAGCTTTCACAAACGACTAGAATTAGATTGAAATATGTCACAATTTAAAGTATTTATCTTCACATGTGATTACAGCTGTGATTTGAATCGTACTTTTTATAATGCATGTTTATTGTTATTTAAGGACGTTATTCCACAAAACTATCATGTATCTAGGAAGGGCCATTTGCTTTTTCTATGGATTCCAAAATGTAAAAGTTAAAGGCCAACCAGTAGGATCCGATGTAGCACCAATGTTGGTCTGTGCACCACATTCCACGTTCATGGATGCTTTTGTTATATTTTACTGTTCCACACTTCCTAGCAGTCTCTCTAGGAAAGAAAATTCAGCTTTACCAATTTTGGGATGTAGGTATATCGTGCATCACATCATATATGAATTGTTGGAATTCCCTTATGGTAATATTAACAGTGTAATGTCTGATTTTAACATATTCAGAAAGTTCGTACCAATTTTTATATATCTAATCTCTTAAACGTTTGTATTAATAAACATGTTTTTGAGTACCAGATTTAAAAGACATTATAAGGCATATGGCACCATTGTTTATCTATAAGTACATCAGATTTAGTTTTACTTCTTGTCTTGTTTTCCTGATTTGGTCTTAATCTTCTTCAGTGATTACCTAGCCAATTTTTACCTAATGAACTTGTTGATTAAACTTTTACTGATGTCCTCTGGACCAGCCAACATGACCCCTTTGACTGAGAAGAATAATATAGTCAATAATCAAACAAAATTATTGTCAAGGAGAGAAATGTTTTTCCAGTCAATAGCTGATTGTACTGTTTTTTTGAAAGTGTATGATTAAATTTCATGTGAGGATTTCAGGCCCACATCTGTTTAGATACAATTACTGAGTATAGTATCATGATGTTTTACTGATTATAGTATCAGTCATATATTTGCTGTTTTAATTCATTTGTGATGATAGGCTAATATATTTCATATAGTTAAAAAAGATGTGTTAAATAACAAATTATTTATTAAACTAACTCTTGGAAACTGTTAGTTTTAGATTTGACATACACTCTTTGAACAGAATGACATAGGGAAATGGAATCTAATGGTCTGACAGATTGATACTGTGAACATTTTGGATACCTTTTTTGTGTAAAAATTTTGAAATAATTTTACATTTTTTTAAGGCATTAAGGCCTTTTCCATTAGTGATTGTCAGTGTATACTACAGTGACTTAATACAGAATTTGATTTAAAGTCTTAAGTACCATTTTTCACTTTTTGTGTTATTAATTCTAATGAGAGGATGCATGTTAACCAGGACTGCATCACATTTCACTGATTACAGTTCCCATGACCTATATGTTTTATGCATGTCACTGATTACAGTTCCCGTGATCTATATGTTTTATGCATGTCACTGATGAGTGAATGGATAAGTTTGTGTTTAGTTGAAATCAGTCAACACATGATTCTTGTGCAAACAGTAGACCACAAGAAGCAATATTAGAATATTGGTTATGTTTGTTCTTGTCAGAACCTTTGTACTATATCTTATATTTTATTGGAAATAATTAGTTAACTTTTTAACTAGTGCGTTAAGATATCTCAGAGTATCCTTCCAATTTTGAACTGATATTATAAAGCAACTTCTGTTCGAAACTAGTTCTAACAACAGAAAGTTTATCATAAAGTACGCTTTTACAAATGAATGATCATTTGTTGGTCACAAATTCAAATTTCAACATTTATGTAAATGGTTGTGTGTTAGTCACAAATTCATATTTCCACATCCACTTTAATATCCATATGTAGGTCACAAATTCATATTTCCATGTCCACGTAAATAGCCATGTGTCAGTCACAAATTCATATTTCTATCTCCACGTAAATAGCCATGTGTCAGTCACAAATTTATAGTTTCACATCCACGTAAATAAATATCCATGTGTCAGTCGCAATTTATATTTTCACATCCACGTAAATATCCATGTGTCATCCAAAAATTCATATTTCCACATCCACATGAATATCCATGTGTTAGTCGTGAAATTCATATTTCCACATCCACATAAATTGCCGTGTCAGTCACAAATTCATATTTCTACATCCACGTAAATAGCAGCTGTAAATAGCCATGGGTCAGTCACAAATTCATATTTCCACATCCATGTAAATAGCCATGTGTCAGTTACAAATTCATAATTCCATGTCCACGTAAATAGCCATGTGTCAGTCACAAATTCATATTTCCACATCCACGGAAATTTCCATGTTAGTCACAAATTCATATTTCTACATCTACGCAAGTAGCCATGTGACAGTCACACATTCATATTTCCACATCCACTTAAATAGCCATGTGTCAGTCACAAATTCATATTTCCACATCCACGGAAATTGCCATGTTAGTCACAAATTCATATTTCTACATCTACGCAAGTAGCCATGTGACAGTCACACATTCATATTTCCACATCCACTTAAATAGCCATGTGTCAGTCACAAATTCATATTTCCACATATAGGTCATTAGCCATGTGTTAGTCACATATTCATATTTCCACATCCACGTAAACAGCCATGTGTCAATCACTAATTCATATTCCCTGATTCATGTAAATAACCATGTGTCTTTGACAAATTCCTGTTAATATGCAGCAGTTTTCCTATATCCAATTTTTCCATTTTCATCGTGTAATCATTATAAAGTGAAAGTCTTCAGAGAACACCAGAATTATCAATAAAAAGGAGCTTTTATTAAGTGCTAGTTGTATTATGATTTGAGTTTTAAATGGCTTTCATGTGCTGTGGGTATTTTGTTGGTTTTAACAATGCATGTTTATGTTTAGTTTGGTTTACCTGTATGTGTAGTAACCTATTAAGTTTGATAACTGGATGAATTGCCTGTTTCATAATTTCAGCATTTCTTACCTGTAAATAACTGCATTGATTTTACTTAATAATCAACAGTATTATTTGTAAATGTAAGCCTAACTTTACAAAATATTGAATTCTAATATTGACTTACTTTAAATTTCAATATCAACCTGAATATGTTAGATTATTTTCAAAGTGACAGTAGACAGCTATCAATCAATCAATCAATTTTCAATATTTGTAGTTTTAAAACATTTCACTAAAACAATATGATTATCAAATATGTTTGATCAGATCAATTTAAACAACAAATGTACTGTGGATTTATTTATTTTCATGGGTACCAATTTTCGTGATTGAAGAAATATTGTTTTTGTTGAATCTTGATTTTGTGGATTTGCCAAAGATTAATTCATACTTCAAGTTACTTTGCATCTACCTACGAAATCCACAATAATTGGTATCCAAAGAATAATTATGAATCCACAGTAATTTGTATTTATTCTCAGGATTCTGTATTCAGAATGTTGTGCTTTTCAGCTCTTATAGAATATACTCAGCCATTATATGTGCAACGAGAAGATCCCAATTCCAGAAAAAATATAATGAAAGAAATGACTAGAAGAGCCAAGACTATGGGAGAATGGCCTCAAATTATTATTTTTCCTGAAGGAACATGTACTAATAGATCATGTTTAATAGGCTTCAAACAAGGTAAACATCCTCATTAGGTCAAATGCAATAAAAAAATCTTTGCTTCAATATAAAAAAATGATGGTTTGTACTCTGTCCTCCATCTTAAGTTACGGTGTAAGGTGTCTTTTAGCATTGAACGACAGGAATCTAATTCTCCAAATTATAGATAAAACAAATATTCAGGGTAAACCTTCATGAAACAACATCAGACAAGGGTCAAACAAAGAAAATGTGATCATAATACTTAAGTGTCAAGTTTCAGTATAACACAATAACATTAATGATACCAATTTTTCTGCACCAGATGCACATTTCAATAATAAATGTCTCTTCAATGATGCTTGAGGCCTTGTATTAGATTGGAATATAAAAATTATTCTTCATTCTTAACTGATGATAACAGTTAATAACAATAATATTCTTTATTCAGAAAGCAATGCAGCTTCTAGATAACAAAAAATATCACAGTAAGCATCACATAGTACAATTTACTAATTGATTTATACAATTTATTACAATTTCAGAGCTTTATAAATTAAACATATTCAAGAGTTTTCAAATATTTTAATAGCAGTGTATAGATACTATCCAATATTATTTTCAAAAGTTCTTTTATATTTTGAACATATATATCAATTGTAAATATTTTAAATGCGGATAGATTCCTTGAGTTATAAGGTTTGAAATAAATCGTGCAAACATCTTTATATTTCTTCATTCCAAAAATGAGAATGATATTCATTCTCTATAAAATTACAGTCACACATATTAAATAATCTACGCATGTCCGTTTATATTAAAATATATTTTGGTTTAAATGTTCAAGTTATGTGCATGTAAACAATATTTTTAACCACAGATTATATATTTCAGTCAATTATGTCATTTTAAAAGTAGATGTAAATCAGTTAAATTTAGATGTATTTAGAAGTTTATATTTCAGGAAGACTTAAAATACAAATATGAATACTATTAAGAAGGATTATTTTGTGATTCATCATAGAATTGAATGTTGCTTTTCCAAAACTCATATGAAAGGAAAGCAAATGATCATCAAGTTTTATTTTTGCAAAACCTATCCTGTCCCAATTTTCAAAATAACAAAAACATCACAAAATATTTTGAATTTAGATAATTATTGACCACTGTTATACTTTTTTGCAGGTGCTTTTTATCCTGGAGTGCCTGTTCAACCAGTTTGTATAAGATACCTTAATAGTTTGGTAAGTAGTAATTCTAGAACTATAGACCCATCAAGGATATGTTTATATTATTATACCCCCTCTTTCTAAAGTGGCAGTATTTAGTGATGGGGGGAGTCAGTCTATACATTCATTGATCAGTCTGTCAGTTTGTTCTTCTGTCCTCCTTTGTATCTACAACAGCTCCTGACTGGCTGGACAGAATGTATTGTTTCTTTATCTGAATGATATATGGGGTTTACTTTGGGATAATATGGACGTAGTGATATCTGCACCCTATTAGAAATAAGGAGATGTGGTATGATTGCCAATGAGACAGCTATCCACCAAAGTTCAAATGAAGTGGATGTAAGCAATTATAGGCAACCAAACAGCCTTCAACAATGAGAAAAACCCATACCCTATAGTCAGCTATAAAAGGCCCCGACATGAAAAATATGAAACATTTCAATCGAGAAAACTAACGGCCTAATTTATAACAAAACAATTTAAGAAAACAAATATGACAGACATGAATCAACAACGACCACTAAACTACAGGCTCCTGACTTGGGACAGGCACACAAAGAATACGGCGGGGTTAAACATGTTTGTGAGTGCTCAACCCTCCCCTAACCTGGGACAGTGGTGTTACAGCACAACACAAGAACCAAACTATAAAAATCAGTTGAAAAGGGCTCAACTAATCAGAATGATACAAAGCAGAAAAACATTGTTCACATTTAGGATCCGCAACTTCTCCTTAAACCCTTATTACAATTTATTGAAACTAAGACATCTACTGATGAGCTTTGGTAAACTTTGAACAGGCTAAAACATGTGATGGGGTTAATACTAGAATTTTAAGCACTCAACCCTTACTTTTTTAATATAATATTTTTTTTTATAATAGGATACATATACATGGACCTGGGAAGGACCAGGAGCGTAAGTTTTACGATTATACGATTTTCAGCTTTCTTAGAATGATTTCTTATTGTGTTTTTCCCTAAATTGAAACTTGCACAACAATAAGAAATTTTACTTTACTGTACATAAACAACTGTTTTGCATTGCTAAACAGCTGAATTTTTTGTCAGTATAAAGTTAGCTTACCTCTATTTGAAATTCTAAGAGTCTTGATTTATCATTCTGTAAATGACTATACTCTCATGAAAAGGTTATACCTATGAACATTTGATATGTTTAAAAAAAAAAAAAATAGTATCAAGTGGCCATGTTTTAGTCCAGCATGACAAATGATCTTTATTTTTTTGTTTGGCCTTCATTAACTGGACAATGGTGAGAATGGCTTCTAAACTCTACAATCTATTGTAGTGTATAATAAAGTTATTATATTTCACTTGAGGATTGGGGGCAATTATGCATTCACCTGTCTGTCTGTCTTGTTTGTCCAACAAATATTTTGATCCCACTTTTCTAAGAAACTACTTAACAGAATGACTTCATAGTTGGTCATCAGCTTGACAGTGATGAATTGAAGTGTGAGCATTTTTCAGATCTGTCAGATACCTACTTCTTAGGGAGCTACCATTTGATTTTTATGGGGGGCTAGGATGAAAATTTTGTCCTGCATTTTTTTTTTTTCAGTTGTAATCTCTGTCCTGTTTTTTTATTTTTACTCTATTCAGTCCTGCCTTTCTTTTATAAGTTTATCCTGACTTTTTTTACTTAAATAAATTGTCATCCTGCATTTTTTTTTTGCAAAGTTGCTCATTCTGCCTTTTTTCAAATTTCATCCTAGCCTAAAAATCAAATGGTAGCTCCCTTATTTGTTGATACATTTGAATTTTTAATATGTTGAATTAACTTTAAAGTTTTTGTCACATATATTTCCAGTACCACATAACAGAATGACTTCATATTTGATCATCAGCTCAATAATGATGAGTTGTAATGTGTGTCCTTTTCATATCTGACAGAATACCATTTCTGTTTTCTGATACTTTGAATTACAGGTGTGGTATGATTACCATGACAACAAGTCCATCCTTGTTTGGTAAGCAGCTTAAAAATGCTCTCCTTCTTCTTCATAAATATATCTTTGGTATAGGAAAAGTGAGAGACTAGGAAATGTTAGATTTAGTGTCCGTCAAGGCTTGTCTGACAGACAAATGAATGGAAATCTATCTTGCAGTATCTAAAAAAATGTTTAATTTGTTGTCTTAATGTAGTTCAATTTATGTTTGTGGTAGTTTTACCCAGGCTTACTCAATGCGCACATCTACCGTTATAAAAAAAAGGAATTTATATATTTTAATGTTCTATATGCTTATTACACCTGCTCTGCTTTTATCTTTCAGATTTACATGTTTATGGCTGTCTCTATGTCAGTTTCATAATAAATTGGAATTAGAGGTATGTTTAAGTAAATTGTTTTCCTGAAATGAAATAATATCATCTTATATATATGATATTTTTTTTCTCCTTGTTTTCCTACATCTATATCGGGTCTAGAACTTGAAAAAAATCATATATTTTATAATATGTGTCAAGTTGGTACATCAATATGACCCACAAGTTAAGATTGTCTGGCTATATTTGACAAATTAGTACATCCCCTTTAGACAAAATGTAGAGAAATTCTATGACTAACCTATGACCTTCACCTCTGACCTCAAAGTAAAATATTTTATTCATTAAAAGTAGTCTTGTCTATGGCAGATTTTAATCATCTTTATAAATAAGCTCATGACTTTTGGAATGAGTACATGTTATTTCCTTGTTAGTTAATGTGATTTGAAGGAAAGAGACCTACTGCGTTTTTATTTACAAGATTATGAAAAAAGTTGTAAAGGAAGTTAATTGTTGACTGAAACGAGTTATTTGAGATTTACTTCATGATTTTTTTGTCTACCATGTCTACAGTGAAAATCATAAATATGAAATAATACTGGTAAAGAATATAAATATATGTATGTAAACTGGCTATTTCACCTGTTCTTTTTCTAAATTTTAGTTTTTACCAGTATATAATCCAAATGAAGAAGAAAAACAAGATCCTACATTGTATGCATCTAATGTAAGACAGAAAATGGCAGAGTAAGTTATATACAGGATTATAAATGGAGAAAAATGTGATTTTGGATAAATGCTGATGAGACCATTACCCAGCAGCTCACATGTTCTTATAGACCATTTTCCATTGTTTAAGAAGGATTCTGTGGAACCAAGTCATTTGAGTCTTTTGTCCATTTTTATACGACCGCAAAAAAAATTTTGTGGTCGTATATTGGTATGACGTTGGCGTCGTCGTCGTCGTCTGAAGACACATTAGTTTTCGCACTCTAACTTTAGTTTAAGTGAATGGATCTCAATGAAATTTTACCATAAGGTTCAATACCACAAAAGGAAGGTGGGGATTGATTTTGGGGGTTATGGTACCCACAGTTAAGGAATTAGGGGCCAAAAATAAGCATTTTTGTAACTTCCAGACATAACTTGTGTGTAAGTGTATGGATCTCTCTGACATTGTACCACAAGGTTCCATTTCTCAAAGGGAATGCTGGGATTGAGTTTGGGGGTAATTGCCTCCAAATTTTAGGAATTAAGGGCCAAAAAAGGGGCAAAAAACAAGCATTTTTCTAGTTTCATGACAATAACTTGTGAGTAAGTGTATGGATCTCTCTGACATTGTATCACAAGATTCCATATCACAAAGGGAATGCTGGGATTGATTTTGGGGATAATTGCCTCCAAATTTTAGGAATTAGGGGCCAAAAAGGGGCAAAAAACAAGCTTTTTTCTAGTTTCATGACAATAACTTGTGTGTAAGTGTATGGATCTTTTTGAAATTGTACTACAAGTTTCCATATCACAAAGGGAAAGCTGGAATTGAGTTTGGGGGTAATTGCCCAAAAAGTTTAGGAATAAGGGGCCAAAAATAACTATTTTGATACGACCGCAAAAATTAAAAAATTTTTGGTCGTATATTGGTATGACGTTGGCGTCGTCGTCGTCTGAAGACACATTGGTTTTCGCACTCTAACTTTAGTTTAAGTGAATGGATCTCCATTAAATTTTACCATAAGGTTCAATACCACAAAAGGAAGGTTGGGATTGATTTTGGGGGTTATGGTACCAACAGTTAAGTAATTAGGAGCCAAAAAGGGGCCAAAAATAAGCATTTTTGTAACTTTCAGACATAACTTGTGTGTTAGTGTATGGATCTCTCTGACATTGTACCACAAGATTCCATATCACAAAGGGAATGCTGAAATTGATTTTGGGGGTAATTGCCGCAAAATTTTAGGAATTGGGGGCCAAAAAAGGGGCAAAAAACAAGCATTTTTCTAGTTTCATGATAATAACTTGTGTGTAAGTATATGGATTTTTCTGAAATTGAACTACAAGGTTCCATATCACAAAGGGAAAGCTGGAATTGAGTTTGGGGGTAATTGCCCAAAGCATTTAGGAATAAGGGGCCAAAAATAAGCATTTTTCTAGCTTCCAGACAATAACTTGTGTTCAAGTGTATGGATCTCTCTGAAATTGTACTGCAAGGTACCATACCTCAAAGGAAAGGCTGGGATTGAGTTTGGGGGTAATTGCCTCAAAATTTTAGGAAATAGGGTCCAAAAAGGGGGAAAAAAACAAGCATTTTTCTAGTTTCAGGACAATAACTTGTGTGTAAGTGTATGGATCTTTATGAAATTGTACTACAAGGTTCCATATCACAAAGGGAAAGCTGGCTTTGAGTTTGTGGGTAATTGCCCTAAACGTTAGGAATTTGGGGCCAAAAAGGGGCCAAAAAACAAGCATTTTTCTAGCTTCCAGACAATAACTTGTGTTCAAGTGTATGGATCTCTCTGAAATTGTACTGCAAGGTACCATACCTCAAAGGAAAGGCTGGGATTGAGTTTGTGGGTAAGGAATCATAAGGGGGTTCAAAAAAATATAGGGGGGGGATTTTTTTTCCCTTTTTTTTCTTTAAAATTTTCTATTTTAAATTGGTTATTTCTGATTTATATATAAAAGCAAATAATAATAATAATATGGTTTGAATAGGTAAATTAAAAAATTTTATGTTCTTAGACCACATTCATTCTGTGTCAGAAACCTATGCTGTGTCAAATATTTAATCACAATCCAAATTCAGTGCTGTATCAAGCTTGAATGTTGTGTCCATACTTGCCCCAACTGTTCAGGGTTCGACCTCTGCGGTCGTATCAAGCTGCGCCCAGCGGAGCATTTTATTCTAGTTTCCAAACAATTACTTGTGTTCAAATGTATTGATCTCTCTGAAATTGTACTGCAAGGTACCATACCACAAAGGGAAGGCTGGGATTGATTTTGGGGGTAATTCCCTCAAAATTTTAGAAATTAGGGGCCATAAAGGGCAAAAAAACAAGCATTTTTCTAGTTTCAGGACAATAACTTGTGTGTAAGTGTATGGATCTTTATGAAATTGTACTGCAAGGTTCCATATCACAAAGGGAACGCTGGGTTTGAGTTTGGGGGTAATTGCCCTAAACGTTTAGGAATTTGGGGCCAAAAAGGGGCCAAAAAACAAGCATTTTTCTAGTTTCCAGACAATAACTTGTGTTCAAGTGTATGGATCTCTCTGAAATTGTACTGCAAGGTACCATTCCACAAAGGGAAAGCTGGGATTGAGTTTGTGGGTGATGAATCATAAGGGGGCTCAAAAGATTGGGGGGGATTTTTTTTTCATTTTTTTTCTTTAAAATTTTCCATTTTAAATTGGTTATTTCTGATTTATATATAAAAGCAAATAATAATGATAATGGTTTGAATAGGTAAATTAAATATTTTTAAGTTCTTAGACCACTTTCATTCTGTGTGAGAAACCTATGCTGTGTCAAATATTTAATTACAATCCAAATTCAGTGCTGTATCAAGCTTGAATGTTGTGTCCATACTTGCCCCAACTGTTCAGGGTTCGACCTCTGTGGTCGTATCAAGCTGCGCCCCAGCGGAGCATTTTATTGTTATTAGCCGGGTTGGATGAATTTATGAAATAGGGTACAAGTTTTTGTAAGCACATTTTGTATGAAGGTCAGAAGCACTTCAAACATAAGATGTGCACATAATCAACACTTTGACAACTCTATACAATTACAAAGCATTTAGTTCTTATAATTATATTCTTATATTATTACCATGAAGTTAGGAATTAAATCTAGCTTTTTGTTTGTTTTGATGTATATAAACGTAATGTTGTCACAGAGAGCACATGCAGTCATAGATGTTACATGTTATTGGGAAATGAAATATGATAATGGAATACCTCACAATCATTGTCTGCCAATCAAATTAACAAAATCCTATGAAAAGTAATATAATGTAATTATCATAAAATAAATTTTTAAAACTATGTCATCATAATTATATTGAAAAAACTTTCGCATTAATGTCCAAGTGGTAACCTTAACAATATTTTAAAAATGTTCACGTTTGTTCTTTAAAAGTATACATGTTTTCTTTTATTTTAGAAGTTTGAAAATACCTTTTACAGATCATACTTATGATGATGTTCGTCTGATGCAGAAGGCAGCCAAGCTCAATTTACCACATACAGCAGGGCTTATAGAATTCCAAAAACTTCACTCCAAACTTGGGTAAGTTTGTATAACCCCAGCCCATAGAAAGAGACTAGGCGCTAGGGGTCGTCTTAAACTTGCAGTGAGGTCAGAGTTTTTTTGCTCTGTGTTGAAGGCCTCACTGTGACTTTGAGATGAAGAACAGCAATACAAGCACTGTTTCTTTGCTTTTTGTGTGTTTTTGTGCTGTGCATGTACTGATTTGGTGTCATGGATGGATACCCTATATCCTTTGTTTTTCTATTCCTTATATTTTCATCAATCTTAAGTTCAGGTTTTCAGTTTCTTTACTTCTAAAATTTAGGTGGAAACTTTCACTTTTGAAAAAGGATGGAGATGTTTCAGATAGTTTTATTCAAGACAAGACCATTACTGTATGTCAGTTTGTCTGTTCATCACACTTTGGTGTCTTGGTGATAATGAACCACTTCACTGAATATTTAAAAATTTAGAATATTGCTATTTACACTAAAAATTTAGAATACAGTCGAAACTCGTTGTGTCGAAGTCGAAGGGACCCGACCAAAGTATTCGACTCATCCGAGGTCAAGTGTGTCGTCATAAATTTGGAATGCATGAACTACGGTATGAGATTTGTGTAAACTAGATACAATGAACAGTGTGCCTTTTTTCGATATGACACTTTATGATTGTGTATTCAATCTCCATTTTTGGTCCTTCGTAATAATTGAACACACAAGTACAGATACAAATCATGCACAAATAAAATCAATAGTCTACACAAATATTTACAAATGTCAGTCATTATAAATTATGAAATCCCTCGCGGCACGAAATAAGTTCTGAACGATCTCTGATGAGGTCATCTGCTTAACATTAAATTATCATGAATTTATTATAATTGTCCTAATCCTTTTATTTATTGTAATTAATGAGTTTTAAATCTAACGTTTCATTTAATCTCGGCTTGGGTCATTTAAATTCGTTTCGTTTTTATCTCAGGTGAAAAATGTTCAACAAGACTAACATTCCGCTTGAACGATCAACAAAGGTGTTAATTAGCGGTCTTCATAAACATGTCATTTTAACTGTTATACAAACAAGTATGTTTACTCAGCTTTAATCTCTTTTGAAAATGATTAGGTGACATAAGAAATACATCCGATTTGAATTTTTATCATTAGGCCTGCATCTTTCGAAAATTCTTACTTTCGAACTTTGAGACATCGGGGTCAATTTACATTAATTTTACTTCGACGGGACTATTACATTTACTCGACTTAACCGAGTATTCGAATCAACCGAGTTCGACTCATCAGAGGTAATTATGCATTGATCAAACGGGATTTTACCGGGACCGAGAAATTACTTCGACTCATCCGAGTTTTCAACACAACCGAGTTCAACACAACGAGGTTCGACTGTATTGCTATTTACACTAAAAATTTAGAATATTGCTATTTACACTAAAAATTTGGAATATTGCTATTTACACTAAAATATATGATTCTGATGGTTTTGACTTTTAATGATGTAGAGTTGGGGGCAACTATTTAAAAAAAATAATTTCAAATTTTTACCAAAAGTTTAGGACCATTAGATACAAATAAAGTTTGATTTTACTGTCAAATTAGTTTATAATACAGTGTAATGACTTGATTTGACAACAAATGCCACCACTTTAATTTTTTAGATTGAAAAAAAAAATAGAAATTGAACAGATGACATAAGGTTAAGTTCAACAAACACTTAATAACTTAGTTTTATCTATCTGTTTTAAAACATACTGCAGTTTTGTCCAGAGAAAAGAGTTCAGTTTTCATTTTAGTTTAAATTTCATTCTTGAACTTTTCAGAATTAGTTTTGACCAAATGAATGAACTACTAGACCAGTTTGGTGCTATTTCCCAAAAAGATAAAGGCAGTATTACTTTGGGAGAATTTGCTGCATATCTACATGTACCCGTGTCTCCTGCATTAGAGGAGATGTTTTCTTTATATGATAGGGTAAGATTGGAAGAAAATATTTCCCTTATATGTTAGGGTAACTTTAGGAGAATTTACCACATATCTATGTTCCAATTTCTCCTGAATAAACAAATCAAACTTTTATGTTAATGTCTTAATGTTTGTTCTCACATCTATTTTTTATGCCCTTGTCGTAGCAGAGGGGGCATTAAGTTTTACCCTTGTACATCTGTACGTCCGTACGTCCCGAAAATGGTTTCTGTTCTGTAACTTTAGTTTGCCTCAACCAAATGTCATGACACTTATACACAATGCTTATTACCACAAAACACAGATCAAGATTGAATTTGGGTGGCATCACTTTTACCTTTCTAGAGTTATGCCCCTTTACAAATGGAAAAAGTGTTGAATTTTTCATTTCCGTTCTCTTAAGTTTGCCTCAACCAAATGTTATGAATCTTATACACAATGCTTATTACTACAAAACACAGATCAAGTTTGAATTTTGGTATTGTCACTTTTATCGTTATGCTCCTTGGCAAATGGAAAAATTGCTTAATTTTTTGTTATATGCAAGCGGGGGCATCATCTGTGTCCCATGGACACATTCCCCATTTATTTTTTTTACAAGAATACTACCCAGATTAACAGAGAAAGAAAATCATATTGGAAAATAATTGCACACTCTCCATTTCCTTGTTTTAATAATGGTCCAGAAAATAAATATTTCTAGAAGTAAATTATTGCTCTTTTTCACTTGTATTTCAGAATGGTTCAGAAACTATAGATTTCCGGGAGTATATTATTGGCCTGTCATTGATATCGCAACCAGTCAACAATGATGATACTTTAAAGTTAGCTTTTCAGGTAACCTAAATCATTAAAAGACTATACCTTTGAGAAAATAATACTGTTATCTTATTAGTATGAGAATATCAAATGACTTGTAAATGAGATGTTAAGATTTTGATGGAAAATAGACCAGATTGAAATTATCTCCATTTCCCTTCAGATTTCTAAATTTCATTTGGAAAATTCATTTACTTATATATTTTTTTCATTATATATGTACCTTCTTTTATTTTCCTCACATTTAGGCCCTAAAATTCATTTACTTGGTTCTCAGGCTCCTTTGCATATTGTTTTGGATGAAGCATTTACATGAAGAAGTAATAAACTAGATGTGTCGAAACAACACCAATGGGCGTACTTGCAAAAAAAACCTTGAAGCCATTTTTAGGAGTGGAAATTTCTGTAAAAATCAGCAAAGCAGAACCAAATGTAAATTGATCTGTAACTCATCATAGCAGACTCACACACTAAAAATCAACACAATATGTGAAGGCTTTTAGAAAAAAAGTCTGTGTCACTGTTATTTTCATGAAATTTTTATATGACCACAAAAAAATTTTGCGGTCCTATATTGGTATGACGTTGGCGTCATCGTCGTCGTCCGAAAGCACATTGGTTTTCGCACTCTAACTTTAGTGTAAGTGAATGGATCTCTATGAAATTTTACCATAAGGTTCAATACCACAAAAGGAAGGTGGGGATTGATTTTGGGGGTTATGGTACCAACAGTTAAGGAATTAGGGGCCAAAAAGGGGCCAAAAATAAGCATTTTTGTAACTTCCAGACATAACTTGTGTGTTAGTGTATGGATCTCTCTGGCATTGTACCACAAGGTTCCATATCACAAAGGGAATGCTGGGATTGATTTTGGGGGTATTTGCCTCCAAATTTTAGGAATTAGGGGCCAAAAAGGGGCAAAAAACAAGCATTTTTCTAGTTTCATGACAATAACTTGTGTGTAAGTGTATGGATCTCTCTGACATAGTACCACAAGGTTCCATATCACAAAAGGAAGCTGGGTTTGAGTTTGGGGGTAATTGCCATAAACGTTTAGGAATTTGGGACCAAAAAGGGCAAAAAAACACGCAGTTTTCTAGTTTCTTGACAATAACTTGTGTGTAAGTGTATGGATCTTTATGAAATTGTACTACAAGGTTCCATATCACAAAGGGAAAGCTGGAATTGAGTTTGGGGGTAATTGCCCAAAACGTTTAGGAATAAGGGGCCAAAAATAAGCATTTTTCTAGTTTCCAGACAATAACTTGTGTTCAAGTATATGGATCTCTCTGAAATTGTACTGCAAGGTACCATACCACAAAGGGAAGGCTGGGATTGATTTTGGGGGTAATTGCCTCAAAATTTTAGGAATTAGGGGCCATAAAGGGGCAAAAAAACAAGCATTTTTCTAGTTTCAGGACAATAACTTGTGTGTAAGTGTATGGATCTTTATGAAATTGTACTACAAGGTTCCATATCACAAAGGGAAAGCTGGGTTTGAGTTTGGGGGTAATTGCCATAAACGTTTAGGAATTTGGGACCAAAAAGGGCCAAAAAAACAAGCATTTTTCTAGTTTCCAGACAATAACTTGTGTTCAAGTGTATGGATCTCTCTGAAATTGTACTGCAAGGTACCATACCACAAAGGGAAGGCTGTTATTGAGTTTGGGGTGATGAATCATTAGGAGGTTCAAAAAATTGGGGGGGGTTTCCTTTTTTTTCTATGAAATTTTCCATTTTAAATTGGTTATTTCTGATTTATATATAAAAGCAAATAATAATGATATGGTTTGAATAGGTAAATTAAAAATTTTTAAGTTCTTAGATCACATTCATGCTGTGTCAGAAACCTATGCTGTGTCAAATATTTAATTACAATCCAAATTCAGTGCTGTATCAAGCTTGAATGTTGTGTCCATACTTGCTTAACTGTTCAGGGTTCGACCTCTGCGGTCGTATCAAGCTGCGCCCCAGCGGAGCATTTTATTAAAGCTTAACGCCCATAATTTCAGGAAAAATAAGCGGAGTGGAATCAAACATAAAATTGATCTGTAACATCATAGTAGACTCACATACCAAAAATCAGCTCAGTATATGAAGGCATTTAGAAAAAAGTCTATATAACTGTTATTTTCACTAAATTTTCAAAGTCTAAAGCCTGTAATGTCAACAAAAATTAACGGACCAAACATATCCTCGAAATTTTCTAATATGATGAGATTTGTTAGTGTTTGGTTCTGATGGTCTAAGTAATAAGTATCCAAACGATCGTTTTGTTTTGATAACTAAATGTAAAATACTGTTTCTGAACTTTGCTAAATAGGGCCAAAATCCCAAAAGTATTACAGTAGACTCCACCTATTCGGATATCGGCTAAACGAATATATCGGCTATTGTAATATTATTTCAAAACACAAAACCCTTTCCTATATGTTTAATGTAAATTTTATGTCGGCAAATCAGATAGGAATATTCATAAAAATTCTGTCAAAACCATGCGCAATCGGATATTTTCAATGTTTTTCTGACAGGAAATGAGGCCAGAAGTTACGCAAGTACAATCTTGCAGACAAGAAAATTTTGTTTCTGCTTAATAAAAGGGACTATTTACTAATAAAATTGTTGTCTTTATTCATTGTCTTCCTTTGTAATGTGAATAAGATGCCCTTACAGTTCAAAAGGGTTGAATTTTATTTAAAAATACCAGTGCAGTACGTTGGGAGAAATTTTGATAAAACTCATATGTTCACAGAATCAGAAATATAATTTTAAACTGAATGTACCTCCTTCTGAATAATTTATTGCAATACTATACATATAAATCCCTTCTGAACAGAGAAATCTGACTTTTGTCAGATAAAATTATGTAACACGAGTTAAACATGTGCATAACCACATGTCATGGACGCCATTTTCCCTTGTTTACATTTTAATGTGTAGCCTCGTGAACCATGACCCGAACAATAACAGAATCTTTAGAAAACTTCAACTTTATTCATCAATCTTTATTATCTTCATTGATAAACAAACTAGATTTCGTAATTTAAAGAAATTAGGTTTTAAATAAATATCATCGAAGAAATAGTTTAGTTAGTCATCATGTTAATAAGACAAGCTGATAATAATTTCACAGAGTGTGAGCAAGACTTTACTGTACTTTTGAGAAATTGGTGTAGCTATTTATAGCAAGTTACCTGTGTTGTCACTACATAAATAGACATGCATAAATATGGATATTAATTTCGTTTATGAAACAAATAAAGGACACATACTATGGATGGTAGATATTTATTCACATTAATAATTAGGAAATTTGATTTATTTAAATAAACAAAGGATTCAAAGGCAGAAAACAAATAGTATTACATAACCAGCTGATCAAATTTTTACTCAAACATCGTGGTGTTGTACCTGAAAAAAATCAAGAAAAAAAACACCCTAACCCTTTTCTAAAGCAGTTGTCAGGTCTAGTTACATCTCAGGATTAGGTGAACCCTTTTTTTTTGCAGAATATTCAATAAATATTTTTAAGTTTAGTAAACTTAGAAATCATGTTCAACGATCATGCAAAACTGCAAAATCTGACTATTACAGCAGTGAAATTGAAGAAAATAGAAATAACCCAAAACAACTTTGGAAAAGTTTTAAAAATTTAGGATATCAAAAAGATCCTAAATCAAATCCTAATATAGTATTAAATATTGATGGGCAAAACTGTCACGATAACAAAAAAATATCAGAAAAATGACAGACTTAAGCCTGAAAATTACAGGCCTGTTAGCATTTTAAGTATTGTTTCTAAAATTCTAGAAAAAGCTGCCTATAAGCAACTTGAAAATTTTTTGATTTCAAATAATTTATTATTTGAGTTTCAATCAGGATTTAGAAGTTCATATTCAACTGATTCTTGTCTCATTCACTTGATAGATCACATTAAAGCTCAAACAGCCAAAGGTCTTTTTACAGGCATGGTCCTATTAGACCTACAGAAGGCATTTGACACAGTAGATCACAAGATATGTGACAAATTAGAAGTAATTGGGGTTAGATCTATACCTTGGTTTGAGTCATATTTGACAAACAGAAAACAGGTTGTAAGTGTAAATGGGGTGATTTCAGAAGTGTGTAATATTAAATGTGGTGTCCCTCAAGGTAGCTTACTGGGTCCACTTTTGTTTTTGATCTATGTCAATGATGTTCAAACTAGCATCGACTCAGATTGTAAAGTTTTGATATATGCAGATGATACTGCAATTTCATTTTCCCATATAGAGTTATAGACCCTGGGGTCATCTCGCATAAATTATCCAGAATGCTGGAATCATGCCATGATTGGTTAACTGACAATAAATTGTCCCTACATTTGGGAAAGACGGAGAGTATAATTTTTGGTCCTGGTCGAAAACTTCGGTCTTTAATACCGGGTGATTTTGCTATCTCCTGTAATGGTATTAATATTGAGTCCAAAACTTTTGTAAAATATTTGGGAATAATTGATCAGTTTCTAACTGGTGATTTTATTGTCAACTCTATAGTGAAAAAAGTCAATCAAAGGCTTAAATTTTTATATAGAAACAAAGAGTGTCTAAATTTTCAATCTAGGAAAACATTGTGCTCTTCCCTGATTCAATGTCATTTTGACTATGCATGTGCATGCTGGTATGAAGGTATATCAAAACAAATGAAGAATAAACTTCAAGTGGCACAAAATAAGATTGTGAGATTTATTCTGCAATTACATCCCAGAAAGAGTGTGACATATATTGAATTTAAGAAATTGGGCTTTTTAAATATTAGTAATAGAGTCAAACAACTAAGACTCAATCATGTTTTCAACATTTTTAACAATATATGCCCAAATTATTTACATACTAATTTTGTTAAAAATAAAACATCTTTCAATACAAGATCTAGTAGTAAAAACTTTTATATACCAGGAATTAAAGGGTGTGAATCCACCACTTTCTTTTATAATGGAATAAAAGACTGGAATTCGTTACCAGACATGATTAAAAGTT